TCCCTCTTCGCACCCAGTGGAGCCTTCGACGGCCAGTCTACGGTCTCCGTTAGGCACCACGTGAGTGGCACGACACACTGAGGACTACGCTTGCGGCTCTTGGGTTTGCTCCCTCTACTGCTGACTCGTCGTTGTTTCTGCGCACCGACACCTCTCTGCCGCCGTTCTACATCCTCGTGTACGTCGACGACTTGGTCTTTGCCACAGCTGACACTGCTGGACTCTCCTACGTGAAGTCCGAGCTGCAGAAGAGACACACTTGCACAGACCTGGGTGAACTGCGCAGCTACCTTGGCTTGCAGATCACCCGGGACAGAGCACGCCGCACCATTACCTTGACTCAGTCACACATGGTGCAGCAGGTCCTTCAGCGCTTCGGCTTCACGTACTCCTCGCCTCAGGCCACTCCTCTGTCTACTCGCCACTCGCTCTCAGCTCTGCCTTCGGATGAGTCCGTAGAGTCGAGTGGCCCGTACCCAAAGCTTGTTGGCTGCCTCATAAACCTGATGACCTGCACACGACCTGACCTTGCATACCCTCTTAGCATTCTTGCACGCTATGTTGCTCCTGGGAGACACAGACCAGAGCACATGGCTGCAGCGAAGAGGGTGTTGCGCTACTTGTGCAGTACTTCGGGCATGGGGCTAGTGCTTGGAGGGCGGAGTCCAGTGGTCCTCACTGGGCACGCGGACGCTTCCTGGGCTGACGACCAGGCTACTCAGCGGTCGTCCGAGGGTTACACCTTCAGTCTTGGTTCTGGCTCTGTTTCGCTGAGATCTACGCCGGGGCCATGGCTGCACAGGAGCTTCGCTGACTCACCTACCTGCTGACCGACCTTGGAGAGTCGCCTCGTTTTCCTCCAGTGCTGTACGTAGACAACAAGGCCATGCTGGCCTTGTGTCGAGAGCAGCGCGTGGAGCACAGAACGAAGCACATTGCTCTTCGCTACTTTCTTGCTCGTGAGCTGCAGTAGCGTGGTCAGTTTCGACTTGCGTACGTGGCCTCTGAGGCCAACACTGCTGATGTTTTCACCAAGGCACTTCCGCCTTGTGATCATCAGCGCTTCTGCACTCAGCTGGGACTTGTCCCAGTTTTGCCTCACTTGCTCACCTCTTGACCTTGCTTGTACTCTTGCATATATATATATATATATATATATATATATATATACCTGCTCTTGCTTGTTTAGCCTTATATATATATGTCTACCCCTGCATGTGAACTGGCCTTATGGCCTTGACCTTGTGCTCGGACTGTGTGGTGACTTCGTGATCCACCCTGAGCTTGCTTTGCTTTGCTTTGCTTGACTGGTCTTGTGACCCCTTGTTCTCCCCCACTTTGCCTATGGGGGTGTGTCAGAACATATAGCTTTTGCATATTGTGTAGGCTATAGTGGGGTAGCCCACAAGGGGTACAACCCAATTAGGGTTAGTACTTGTACTCAGTTCATTCATAGTTCATCCATTCTCGTTCTCATTTTCTCAAAGCCGAGGAGACCGCTCGTCTGTTTATCGCAGCCGTTGTTCGCCTGCACCGGATACTAGCAGCGATTATCAGCGACAGGGACACAAAGTTCACCAGCAACTTCTGGAAGAGCCTCTGGGAGCAGTTCGGAACCAGGCTGCAGTTCAGTTCGTCGTACCACCCCGAGACCGACGGTCAAACGGAGCGGACGAATCAGACGATGGAGCAGTTGATTCGTGCCACGTGCGATGGCCCCACGACTTGGGAGCAGCCGCCGCCGCTGATCGAGTTCGCGTACAACAATGCCACGTCAGCGACAACGCAGCAGTCCCCTTTCTACCTGAACTACGGGCAAAACCCTACAGTGCCCATGACGTCGAGTCCGGACAACCCAACACCACGTGCACAGCAATTCGCCGAAATTCTGCAAGCTGCCCGCACCAGAGCCGCAGAAGCAATTAAAAAAACGAACGTCATCGCTAAGCGCAACGCTGACCGCCACCGCTGCCCAGTCACATATCAGTCAGGGGATTACGTACTGCTCGACGCGCAAAATCTGCGACTGCCCGACGTACCAAAACTTCGACCGCGCTACTGTGGCCCATTCCAAATCAGCCACATGATCACGCCAGTAACCGCGCACCTACTATTACCGACCGACTGGTACATCAGCCCTTCGTTCCATATCAGCTTGCTTCGTCCCTACATCCCAACCACAAGCCAACTGCCTCGCCACCGCCCGCCATCCATGACTCGCCCTGCATCGGAGCCGATCATCGAGCCCGAAAAAATCATGAGCCATCGGATTCGACACCCCACGGGAATCAAGAGGATTGAATTCCTCGTTCGCTGGAAGGATCGCACGCCGACTGAGGACAGCTGGGTGTCCCTGGCCAACATCGAAAACCACCCTGCCCTGCAAGTGTACATGAGGAGCCGGGGATTCCGCGATATACACGCACTCGCGTAGCGGAGGGGGCTTCTTGAGGGGGGGGGGGGTAGTGTAAGGAATTTTCTCGGCATTCCTTACGGAGCCCGACTACATCGCGTACAGCAACAGCCGTTGTTCGCCCGTTACTGCTAACGGGGCTTCGCCGACTTCGCGCGCACTGTTTCACCAAACCTCGCACTGCTGGCCTGGCCGTGTCGGCCTACGCTTCGGGACTAGCCCGAGCCTCGTTTCCAGCGAAGCACTAGCTAGCTCGCACGCACCGCGTTACCGTTTGCATGTTTCGCGTATAAATGTTCGCTCATGCCTTCGCTCACATTTTGTACTCGTTTGACATAGTGCAATTCTCGCTACTTCGATTCATTGCACCCGTAACAATTACTAAATATACGCTTTGGCATAACTGGAAGTCTGGCAAAGAAACACAAAACACATATTATACAAACCATGGACCCTGCAACACAGAATAAAAAAACAAAAACAGGCAAAAACGAACGCCACCTTACAGAAACCAGCAGAGCCAGCCATCGGAACCAGCAGTTCCAGCCTGCCTGACCCATACCATACTCTAGTGGAGAATATAGGATTAGCAAGCCCTTCTGATACCACCATTGCCATCGCCGTACCACATTCACATCACAGCAAGTTCATCAGTTGCTTGGCCGGAGGAACCAGCAGTTCCAGCCTCGCACAGACTATCCTCACCAAGAGCAGCTTCAGTTCCAGCATTAGACCCCGTCAGAATTGCATCAGCAGCATTAGCTACTTCAACAGCACCAGCAGCAGCACCCGCAGCGGCATCAGCAGCCGCAGGCACAAGCCCCGATGATAAAAGATCATTTGTAGCACCACCAACGCCTGTAGCAGAGCCAGTCGTAGTAACGGCTGTAGCAGATCCTGTAGCAGCAGCGCCTGTAGCAACAGTGTCTGTAGCAGTGGCCACAGTGGCAGAGCCTGTAGCACCGTCAGCAGAAGATGTCAAAACCGAACCGTTGTCCCTGCTGCTGCTGCTCCACCTGTGTCGAAGTGTCTGCCTGCACGAGTGGCTTCAGATCTTGCTGCAAGTTCCCAGCCACACTCCCCATGCTGGGTAGAACGAGTTGGTGTTGCTGGCCTGCATTCTGCTGCTCTTGCTGCTGCTGCTGCTGCTCTTGCTGCTGCTGCTGCTGCTGCTGCTGCTGCTGCTGCTGCTGCTGCTGCTGCTGCTGCTGCTGCTGCTGCTGCTGCTGCTGCTGCTGCTGCTGCTGCTGCTGCTGCTGCTGCTGTTTCTGCTTGCTTCCTGCTGACCCTAGCACTGAGGCAAGGTAAGTGCTTGGAATCTCAATACTCACTTGAGGTGGAGCCTGAGAGGTACTCTGAATCTGGACAGGTCCCCGAGAGGAAGATCTTTTGGGGATTTGTAGCAGCGGGGATGAGGAGAAGTTGGGAATAGGGACGGAAATGACAAGAGGGGAGGAGGAGGTGGTGGGTTGCGAGGCGGCTGAGAGGGGATGTGCTGCTGCTCCTTCTCCTGTTGCTCCTGCCCCCCCTGTTGCTCCTGCCCCCCCTGTTGCTCCTGCACCAACTGCTGTTGCTACTCCCCCTCCTGCTGCTCCTGCTAATCCTGCAACTCCTCCTGCTCCTCCTCCTGCTGCTACCCCTTTTGCTGCCTCTATTGCTGCTGCCACACCTGCAGCAGCTTCCGCCGAGGTGGCCGCAGCAGCTGAGCTCAAAACGGACTGGACAAAAGTCAACGGGGAGAAGTGAGATACCGGAGAGAGTGGATGGGAAATTGTTGCCGAAACTCCCCCCCCAGACCTCCCCACAGGCTGCCCTGGTGAAGCCCCAAAGCTCCCTACCGTAGCTCCGGAACTCCCTACCAAGCCCAACCTTGGAACTAGTAAAGCTGAGCCTAGCCTGGGGACTTGTAACGGCGAGCCTAGTTTAGCGACTAAGGAAGGAGAGGCAGCAGCAGAAAGAGGTAGACTGCCGGAGGTGGCAGCACCTGCTGCTGCTGCGGCTGATGCTGACACAGGGGGGATGGAGAGAGGAGTGGCGAGGGAAGGGGTTGGGGCGGCAGCACGTTGGGGAGTGGAGGGCGCTACAGTGCCGAGTAGCAACCCCCCTGATGCAGACGGCAGGCCGGAACCAGAGGGATAGGTGGCATTGGCGCCAGCACCCATGGCAGCACCAACCACAGCAGTACCAGTACCAGCCGCAGTACCAGTCCTAGCCGAGGTGGTGGTACCCCCAATAGTGGCAGCAGTGCCGGCAGGAGCAACCCCAGCTGCAGCCGGATAGAACCCGGCAGGAGTAGTGGCAGCAGCAGCATCAACACCGCTTGACGACGCCGCCACGCAGGCAGTTGAAGCCACCGGCACAGCAGAAGCAGCATCAGGCTCAGCAGCAGGAGCAGTGGCAGCAGTAGCAGCAGCATTAATGGCTGTAGTTCCCGCCACACCAGCAGCCATAGACCCAGAGCAGCCAGGCAGGGGCTGGGACGGGTTGGGGTCTATGCCTGCATTATAGAGCACTCCCTTAAAGATGTGCCCGCCGATCTTCACACAGGCATGGTAGCCAAACTCGAAGTGCCCGTCCACAATGCCCGTCACCCGCACGCTCCTGAGGAGAGTCTGAGCCACCACTTCTGCTGGGAGTGCTGGTGTGGGAGAGAGGGGTTGAGAGCGGTGAGGAGGGGTTGACTGAGAGCGTGCTGAGCAGCACGCTCCTGAGGACGGTCTGAGCCACCACCTCCGCTGGCGTGGGGCAGAGGAGTTGTGAGGGGTGGGGCGGGGTCAAGTGAATAGTGTCCCAAGACATATTGATGCTTTCATCGTACATAAGGTAAGAGCAACGCAATTGTAGAAATAAATAAGGCCCAACTAAACAACTATCTCACCTTGAGTCTGCTGCGCAGGTGTTTCTGGAAGAGCCAGCAGCGATGGCTGCTGCAGAGTCTGCTGCTGTGACACCTGCTGTTGCTGCTGCTGCTGCTGCATTGCTGGCTGCAAAGATGGCTGCAACACCTGCTGCTGCGACTGAACCTGTTGCTGCTGCTGCTGCTGCTGTACAGGAGCCTGAGCTGGCGGCACCCCCACCTGCTGCTGGTACTGAGACGGAACCAGCAGCAATTGCTGTGACTGGCCTTGCCCTTGCCCTTGACCATGAGCCTGCATACCCGTCTGCGCACCTAGCAGCGGCGACGCTCCTGCTGTTTGCGGCTGCTGCTGCTGTTGCGAATGCGGCTGCACGTGCCCCTGACCGGGCAACTGAATGGACAACTGACCAGGCACCTGAGCCGGCACCTGCGCCTGGGGTATAGGCACCACCACAGACGCCACTGGCCCTCGCGCAGGCGACTGGGCCATGACAGGTGTCGACATCCCACTGGCTGGCAAAAAACTTGAGCTTCCCAACGCCCCGAGAGCACCAGCAGGCGCCACCGCAGCAGGGCCCATCGCAGCAGCGACAGCAGCAGTAGCAGCAGCAGTAGCAGCAGCAGCGGCAGTGGCAGCGGTAGCAGAATAAGGCACTGTCATGGGAATGGGTCCCGCCACGGGAGACTGTGACCCGCTGCCTCGCGCGCGCTTCGTCCGCGGCGGAACAGGCCGCATTGTCGCCGCCATCGCCCGCGCGGCGGACTCCATCTGCTCGCGCTTTCTCCGCTCCGCCGCGGGGACCCACGTGCTGCGCACGTGCGTCGCGCAGTTGAATCCGCGTGCCTTGCAGCACGTGCGGCAGCGGCGGTACGGGCAGTCGCGCTTGGACGCGTTTCCGCACTCCATGCACGAATTGCCCTCACGGAAAATGGCCGGGCCGAGGGGTTGGATGACTGGGAGAGTCACTACTTGCTGCTGACCCGACAGCTGTTGCTGTTGTTGAACCTGTTGCTGCTGCTGGGAGTTCTGCAATTGTTGCTGCTGCTGCGGCTGAGTCCCCATGGGCAATGGGACTATAACGGGAGTGAGCGGCTGTTGGAGCTGCTGTAGCTGCTGTTGTGACTGTAGCGGCTGCTGCGGCTGTAGCGGCTGCTGTTGCTGTAACAGCTCCAGCTTTGGCTGAGATAGTTGTTGCTGATTTGGCTGCTGCGATTGAGTCGGATCGCCAGGGGGAGCTGGAGGAGGAAGAGGGGAGATAGGTTCGCCATCTGCTGCAGTCGCCATGGATGGTTACCCCACCACTCACGAAACCGCCGGTCGCAAACACACCACTCACAACCTCCTTATTTTGATTAATGCAAAACGAAATTCGCTAGCTGTATTCTTGGCCTTTCCTTGAAGGGCTGTTGTGCAAAACGACCGTCTTTACTTTCAAAGATCGGCGATCAGTCTCGCCCGGCAAACAGGAGCGGCGTGTGAACGAACGACCTATTAGACCTTCATATCCAGAACGCCGTTGCAACCTGAAATAAACGGGGGAAAGAACACCAATATTAGCTAAGACGAAACGAACGGGGAATGTATAGGATTGTTACACACAACATGGTGAGGTCGATGCAAAATTCCTAACAAACGTTCGACGCGTCGTGCAGCCAGAGTCAGCACGGCGCGGCGATTCGCGAGGACGAGATGCGGCACATTATACTGGATTCGCAAATCAAAGGCGAGTTTTGAGTCAACGCCAGACATATTTCACGGCACTTTCGAAAGCACGCAGCTAAGGAACGGAAGGACAGGTGACGGAATTATGACAAAAGGAGTTGAAGTAAGAAACGACGGGAACCCGCGTAACGGGTAAGGATATATAAGCGGACGAGAAGAATTTAGCCTAAAACGTTTCGCCTGGTGAAATGGATAAAGAAGGTGAAAAGGCCAGAAAATGATGATGAAGGATAATCTGAACTATCACTCAGGAGATTAGCCAGAGAAAGGAGTTGCTACAAAAGCTTACGTCACAAACGTAGGTGCTGAACGGATCCACGCAGCGGAAGAGGAGGGAGGGAGGGAAATCGGTAACTCCTAGGTCAGTCTAGCCTAGAAAGCTACAGCTAGCTTCTAGAATGAGGTGGTAGGGAAACCCTAGTCCTAGATAACCTGCAGAGCTAGCGCTCTGCGCCCTCGGATTGGCTGTCGAATATTTCAGGAGGGTAGGCTAGGGCAGGCTAGGCTGGGCAGAGTGTTGCAGAAGACGGATTGCCCGCTAACAGATTTCGTGGCGTTACAGAGAGTTACAATGCGTTTGAGAGTGGCTTCTTCACTGCGTTCCAGACCTGGAATTCCAGCCCTGGATTCTCACGAGGTCAGGGCAGGGGGCAGTCCGCCTCTCCACCACCGCAGAGCTGGTTGCAAACTTCCAGTCCAGCGCATGGATTGCAGGGGAAGGGCGGTTGGGCGGCGGGTTGTGTGTGTGGTTGGACTGCTCTTGGTTGGCTTCGCTTGCCTGGTTGTTTCGCTTCCTGCATGTGGCTTGTCGCTGCAAGTCGGGACTCCGGGGAGTCTCTCAACGGTCAAGAGAAAACAACTTTCTACACCACCGGGAAGATTTTGCTAGCGTGTAGGCTTGTGCTACACGCTCAACACTAGCCGAGGGTTTCGCTTCTAGTGAATGATATGAATCCAGAATTGAGCATGTATCCATGGGTACAGTAGTAGTGAAATTTGAAGGTTTTCGTCCTTTCAGCGAACCATTCTTCTCCACACCACCTCAGTTCACGCGTGTCAATTTGCATCCTGCGAAATTCCAATACTGTACATGTGTACACGCGACACACTGCATGCATCTGAACCCGAAAACTGGTCTATATTGAATGTACACGTACACATTTGGCTTATCAGGTCGTCTCTCCAGCAAGTGTCAAGAGGGGCTAGTGTCATGACACCAACTCGAAAACACATGGAGGACTATCCCTCCTGGTGTCAGCTAAACCAACCAATGAGATCGCGGGAAATCGTCCGATGTGCCCAACATTGACACCAGGCTGGAGCCGCGCTCACACGCGGCTCCACTTGGTGTCAACCGTAAACAACGCTTGACACCAAGCCTTTCTTGACACTTGCTGGAGAGACGACCTCAAACGTGTACAAATGTGTTCTGTGACTGCAATACGTATGACCGAATGGTGGAGCCTTTTGACTCCCCCGTAGAAAAGTCGAAACCAAGCATTTCATATAGGGCTTGTTTTCCAATCTGTCGGAAACTGAGGGTGCATTCGTACATCGTGTCAGACACGAAGTGGAGGTTTGGACGGAGGTTCGGAAGACCCGAAGTGGCCCACTTCGGGTCTTCCGAGCGTTGGTTTGCTAGAGTTCCAGCTCACTTCGGGTCTCCTCAACTCACTTCGTGTCTGATCTCATGTCATACACGAGCCAAGAATACACCCTGAAAGTTGTTGCCTATCGCAGTCGCAACCGCTATTGCTTTAAGACTGGTTCTTTAAAAGCTTAAGGTCTATTTTCGTCTGTGTGCTGAAATCTTGTGCGTCCTATGGAGAAGGCCTGAGATCGTAAGGCGTGATTCGGGTTCTACCTTGATAATTTAGGAAACATCTCACTTGAACTCTGCTCCATTCAGGGTGACAAACGCCAAACCTTCAAATTCGACCTCCCGCTCCCAGGCTTCCCTCCCCCTCGCCCGCCCAGTCCCTTTCAATTCGACACAATTTCCAGATGAGCAGTTCGGTTCGCACGAGTCAGCAGCTCGGGATTTGAAATGAACCATTATTTGCTCGTCATCCCTACATTTGCCATACTAAAATCACTACGTTCGGTTCTAGAAATAAAAAAAAGGCGACCATTTTCAGCCGTCGGCCAAAACCCGCGCCAGGCAGGAGGAAGCTGATAGTACATGTAAATCAAGTAAATTTGTAATAACTGGCGAATCCTTTGTGAGGCGTCCAAAAATTGGAATAATTGGCGGGCCGCGTCAGTCATGGCGGAAACTCGAGGCGAGGAAGGCTGTAGATGGTTAAGTTATTATTTTTGGCGGATGATTTTTCAGACGCCTCAGAATTAGAATAATTGGCGGCGGATAACTGCGGCGGCGGCAGCTATGGCGGAAACCCGAGTCAGAGGCGGTTGGAACAGGCAGACGACGCGCAATGCGAAGCAGGCTCGGAATAAAAGGGAGCAAGAGGATGATGATAGGAAAAAGGGAGGTCGTGTGATTTGCTCCGCCGCCGTGCTATTCCAGGGTGAGAGTGATGACAAATTGCGCCGCGTACTACACGCCGCGCAATGCCACGCGGCGATCGCGCTAAGCGCGCCCACCTGCGCAAGTCTTTCAGCAGCCCCGATTTCCCCGACCTCACTTTCTCGCTCCGCTTCTCTCCGCCCACGTCGTCAACACTCGGCACATCTTTTACCACTCCCTTCCCGTCCCCTCCTCCGCCTTTCTGAGGCAGCGATTTGCGGTCCCCACATCCGCCCGCCGATCCCCCATGCGCCCCGCCGTTCCCCAGATCCGCCTCACCGAGACGAGTACCCCATCCGCCGTCCCCCCATCCGCCCCGCCGTCCCCCATCCGCCCCGCGGTCCCCCCATCCGCCCCGCCGTTCCCCATCCGCTCCGCGGTCCCCCATCCGCCCCGCCGTTCCCCCAACCGCCCCGCGGTCCCCCCATCCGCCCCGCCGTCCCCCCACCTGCCACCGTTCCCCCATCCGCCGACCCCGCACCCCGCTCCGTCCCCCATCCGACTTGCCCAATTCGACAGTCCCGACCCCGTTTTCCCTCATCTGCTTCCCCGTTTCCATCCGCCGTCACCCATTTCCCTGCTCCAATCCGCCTTCATCCCATCCCCCCCAATCCGCTTTCCCCAAATCCGCCGTTCTCCTCATTCACCTGCCCGTCGTCCACTTTCCCGCCATCCGCCTTTCCCCCATCCGCACCCCCCTCATCCGCCGTCCCCTTTCCGCCGTCCCCCGATCCGCTGACCCTACATCCTCCTTCTCCAGATCCTTTACTCCCATCCGCCTATCCTCCCCACCCCCACCCCCCCCCCTCGCCCCCTCCCCAATCCGCCCCCCTCCTTCTCTACCGCCGTCCCCTTTCCGCCGCCCCCCATCCGCCCCCCGCCACTCTACCGCCGTCCCCCTTCCGTTTTCCCCCATCTGCTCTTTCATTCCGTCCCCCATTTGGTTTCCCCTCTTCCGTGTTTCCCATCCGCCTTCCTGCCACAAAGCTTTCCCCCCATCCGCCCATCTCCGATCCACCCATCCCCCGTCCACTTCCTTCCTTCCTCTCTCTTTCATTCGAAGTATTGTGGCTAGAATCCCCCATCCGCACTCTCTGTCTCCTCTCCCTCCCGCAGCGCCCTGGTTCACAGTGTTGGTGACGGCGTGGGTGTTGTGTGGGCTGGCTGTGGCGGCATGGCTGCTGTGGGACCAACACCCGCTGCATGAGCCCCCCTCCCATAAACGCACCCCCGTTCCCTTCTCGCTCTCCCTCCTCTCGCCACTGTCTCAGCGCCCTGGTTCACAAGTGCTGGTGGCGGCATGGTTGCTGTGTGGGCTGGCCGAGGCTGGGCCCCTTCAATTCAATCAGCTCTCCGTTCGCTCTCCCCCCTTTTCCCTCCTCCCCCACTGTCTCAGCGCCCTGGTTCACAGTGCTGGTGACAGCGTGGGTGCTGTGTGGGCTGGCCGTGGCGGCATGGCTGTTGTGGGATCGGCACGGGCAGTACGAGAGCCGCAGGGAGGAGGCGCTGGGCGTGTGGTGCAAGGAGCGCGCCCTCATGCTGCAGCAGCTCGTGCTCACCCATGTGGGGCAGACCCAGGTGAGGCATGGACTGGTGTCAACCAACCCATGTAAGGCTGGATTTTCGTCTGGATTTGTGCTGCATGGGTGCTGCCCTCTGCGCTCATGCCCTCATGCTGCAGCAGCTCGTGCTCCCTCATGTGGGGCAGACCCAGGTAGGATTGGATTGGTGCCAGGTATGTGAGGTTGTTGATACGAGTATCTTACTGAGCATATGTTCATTCTTCATCTTCCCCGTCTCAACCACTTGTATGCTGTCGTCGTCGTCGCCGTCGCCGTCGCCGTCGTCGTCGTCATTGCTATTGCTCTAGCTCTGGCTGTAACTATCGGTGTCGTTATCGTATTCGCCTTCATTGTCGTTGCTGTCGTTGCTGCTGTTGCTGTTGTTGCTGCTGTTGCTGTTGTTGCTGCTGTTGTTGTTGTTGCTGCTGTTGCTGTTGTTGCTGCTGTTGCTGTTGTTGCTGCTGTTGCTGCTGTTGCTGCGGTTGATGCTGTTGTTGCTGTTGTTGTCGTCGTCCTCGCCGTCGTCGTCGTCGTCGTCGTTGTTGTCGTATTTGTCACAATCGTTGTCGTCGCCCGTATTTGTTGTCGTCGTCGTATTCGTTGTCATATTCATCGCCGCCATCGTCGTCGTCGTCGTCCTTGTTGTCGTTGTTGTCTCAGTTGTCCTTGTTTATCGCTGTTGCTGTTGACAATGCGGTTGCGCTTGTGCTTGCTGCTGTGCTAACGCTTGCAATTGCTACTGCTGTCGTCGTCGTCGTCGTCGTCATCGTTGTTACTGCTGCTGCTGCTGCTGCTGCTGCTGCTGCTGCTGCTGCTGCTGTTGTCGTCTTCGTCGGCCAAGAGGAAAGGACAGGGGGGGTGGGGAGGGGGGAGTGATCAGTATATATTCTCTAATCTTGCTGTTTCTCTCCTCCCATGCACAGACACTCACAGGCATAATATCAGTGATGGGCAAGCCAGGGCAGAGGCGCAAGTGGGAGCTGGACATGTGTTTGAACGGCAGCACGTGGGAGGCGTACCTCACTCACACCGCCTATGCTCGCCCAGGCAACACTGGGGCGCTCTCCTGTGTTTTCGTGAAAGACGAAGAGAGGTAAGAGCGGGAGGAGGGGGTGGTGTGGGAATGGGGGTAGAGAGCAGAAGGGATTTCAAGATACATTTTTTCTAGGAGCCTCTAAACTTGAAGAGCACGCGGGTTCTCTCGTGTGTCATTGTCAGTGCTACAGCGGTGCGTACAACTCTTCCTCTTTCCCAGTTCCTCCTGGTTCACACACACACATCGCTGTAGACCCTACTATGCCCAGCAGTACGGCAGCATAAGAGACCACACTTGCAACGCCACTCGTTCGTTTCTTTTGTTCCTGTTCTGTTCCGTCCCGTTCCGTTCCGTTCCGTTCCGCTGCGTTCCGTTCCGCTGCGTTCCGTTCCGCTGCGTTCCGTTCCGCTCCGTTCCGTTCCGCTCCGTTCCGTTCCGCTCCGATCCGTTCCGCTCCGTTCCGTTCCGCTCCGTTCCGTTCCGCTCCGTTCCGCTCCGCTCCGTTCCGTTCCGCTCCGTTCCGTTCCGCTCCGTTCCGTTCCGCTCCGTTCCGTTCCGCTCCGTTCCGTTCCGCTCCGTTCCGTTCCGCTCCGTTCCGTTCCGCTCCGTTCCGTTCCGCTCCGTTCCGTCCCGTTCCGTTCCGTTCCGTTCCGCTGCGTTCCGTTCCGCTGCGTTCCGTTCCGCTGCGTTCCGTTCCGCTCCGTTCCGTTCCGCTCCGTTCCGTTCCGCTCCGATCCGTTCCGCTCCGTTCCGTTCCGCTCCGTTCCGTTCCGCTCCGTTCCGCTCCGCTCCGTTCCGTTCCGCTCCGTTCCGTTCCGCTCCGTTCCGTTCCGCTCCGTTCCGTTCCGCTCCGTTCCGTTCCGCTCCGTTCCGTTCCGCTCCGTTCCGTTCCGCTCCGTTCCGTTCCGTTCCGTTCCGCTCCGTTCCGTTCCGCTCCGTTCCGTTCCGCTCCGTTCCGTTCCGCTCCGTTCCGTTCCGCTCCGTTCCGTTCCGCTCCGTTCCGTTCCGCTCCGTTCCGTTCCGCTCCGTTCCGTTCCGCTCCGTTCCGCTCCGTTCCGTTCCGCTCCGTTCTGTTCTGTCTTGTCCTGTCCTGTTTGGTCCCTCCCATTTACACATCGATGCAGGGCGGCCTTTGAGAGACAGTACGGCAGCATCAGAGACAACACACTCAACGTCAGTGCCCACCGCCCCATCTACTGTCCCAAGATCTTGCAGTCTTCCACAACAGTGGCGATGAACGGCACGCAAAACGTCGACCTCATGAAGCGATTTGTCACAGAGGTTCCACTGGCTGTGGAGGGAAGGCCCTTCTACACGTGGCCGTATCCCCTGGCTGGTTCGTCCACCAATGCTGGATTCGGTGAGTTGCGCTTTGAGTAAATAAGGGAGGGGATTCTGGTAAAAAGTATTCTACACCTGGCCATACCCCTTGGCTGCTGGTTCGTCCACCAATGCTGGATTCGGTGAGTTGCGCCTTGCTCTTTGAGTTTACAAGAAAGCTCCTTTTTTTGAATTAGGTGGAATTGTATCCGAGGTGCTTTTCGCAAGCGGGCGGGTTTCATATGCTTTCTTGGTTCAGAGTTTCACTCATGGCGAATAAGGCTTTCTTTCGTTCCCTCCCTCTCGTTCCATGCTGATACAGGCGTGGCTTTTCCTCTGCGCCGCAGTCTCCCCTCAAACGTCTCAGGGCATACAACCGCATCAATGGTGTATGGCACCCTTGCCGCTTCCGTTGACGCAACATCCATTGCCAAGAAGGCTGTGGAGGAGTTGTATGCACGTGGTGAGTGAAGGGCTGTACGCGCGTGGTGAGTGAAGGGCTGTACGCGCGTGGTGTACTCACCGCACCTCTAACCACTCAAGGCAAGCAACCACATCAATGGTGTATGGCACCCTTGCCGCTTCCGTTGACGCAACATCCATTGCAAGGAAGGCCGTGGAAGAGTTGTACGCACGTGGTGAGTGTTGGGGCTATACGTACCTAGTGAGTGTCAAAGATCTTACTGACAGCATTCTATATACGTATGTGATGATTGTAGCCTACTAGGTCCACATTCTCTTCGCCTCCTTCCCCTCTCCAACCCCCTTCCCGCCCCACCCCCCCCCTCCCTTCCCCCCCACACCCTTCTTTGCAGACCCATCAAAGTCTTTCGAGCTTTACGACGTCACAAATCGGTCGATGCTCTTCGCCATCGTCTCACCAGTCCCCCCGCACATCTTCTTCCTTCCCAACGACCCCGTCGCTCGCATGCTTCACTCTCCTGCGTCCGAAACCCGCCCCTGGGAAAAGCCGGCTATGGTACCTCTGGAAGAGATGGGAGCAGGCGTGCGCAAGTATGAGGTCTGGTGCAGGTGAGTCACCAAATGGTCCCATCTTGTCCCTCGCATGGTTTTCCTTCTTTGCATTCAAAATTCGCCCATGGGAGAAACCGGCCGTGGTGCCTCTTAATGAGTTTGGAGCAGGCGTGCGCAAGTATGAAGTTTGGTGCATGTAAGTCATCAGGACGATAGTGGTGTGTTTCTTTATTAAGCATGTGAGCTAATTTTGTATGCTCATGCATCACAATAACACGTCTATACTTTCCCTACCATTCATCTTCCCACCCAGGCACACGGAGCCTTCCAACGCGTGGCAATCATAGGGCATCCCCATCCTCATCTACCTCTTGCTGTACTCGTGCATAGTAAATTATATATATTCGACATGCCCTCTTCCTGTTACTTCCCCCTTTCTAGGCACACTGAGCCTTCCAACGCATGGCAATCGTGGGGCATCCCCATCCTCATCGCTCTCTTTGCCCTCCTCCTCGTGCTGCTTGTGGTGGTGGCGGCTCGGATTCAGCGAGCCCAGTTCTTCCAGACGCAGCAGCAGATGGCAGTTGCAGACAATTTGAGGAAGGAAGCAGAGGAGGCAGAGGCATCAAAGAGCATGTTCGTGGCGTGCATGTCGCATGAGCTCAGGACGCCAATGACTGGGATCATCGGTACGTCCGAATACCTAACGTTACCACCTATTCTTTTTAGCCGCATGCAATACATTCACTTAGACATTCGGAGCATTGGGAAAAGTTCACATTGTGTCAGCATCCGTCCGTCGGAACCATTGAATGAATGGTTAACTATAGCATAGTTGTGAAGGCATCAGTGCCACTTTATCAACACATATCCAACTTGTCCTCCATGTGATCTTGTCTTGATATCACTCAACCTTATCATCCCTCTCTCCCACCAAGCATCCTCGATGCTTCAATAAAAATGACTTTCCAAACACCTTGGCTGACTGGTATCTAACCTTGACCATGTCACCTTCTCCTTAATACCATGCACATTCCTTCCTGCACCCCTCTCTCTCACCAGGCATGATCGATGCTTTAACGGAAATGGCTCTCCAACCCCCTCAGTTGTCAGACCTCCTCACAGCACGGGGATGTGCTATGGATGCATTGCATCTGGTCAACCGTGTGTTGGACCTGGCGAAGCTTGAGGCAGGCAAGGCGGTGGTGGATGAGACGAGCCTCACGGTGCGCGACTGGCTCCATGCCGCGTTGGAGTGGCATGCGGAGGAAGCACGCTCTAAAAGCATAGAATGTGAGTTGGGGTTGGTTGGTTGGCAAGAGTTTTACTAGCAAAAGTTGAAAACAATGACGCAAAAAGCAATGACGACGGTGACTACATCCGGAACATAACAAACCTAGCAAGCAGGCAGGTCGACCTCCAGCATAGCACAAGGACGGCTTGCATGGCAAGTCGGCGGCGTGGCAATGCAGCTGAAAGGCGGCTTGTCAACATTGCAAGTCGACGACCTGGCAGCGCTGCACTAGGGCGACTTGCCAACGCTGCAGCAAGCGGCTTGCCAGCGTTGCAACCGCAGCGCATGCGCGCACCTACTTCGCAGGTGCAGATGGATGGTTCAGCACGTCGTGCACTGTCGCGCACATTACATTACTTGGCGCCAAGTGCAAGTCACGTGGTGCAAGTCGACTTGGCACCGTTCAGCACGTCGTGCCAAGTCGGCTTGCACCACGTGCCGACAGTCGAGCCAAGCCAGATGCACTACTTGCAGCACTGATGAAGGCCTAAGGGGTTCTGTCCCGAAGGCCGAAACCGGTTTGCGAATAAGGGTTTTTCTGAGTTTGGTGGTTGTGAGATTTTCTTGAATCTTCTGGATTTAGTTTCACAGTCTTGTTCCTTTTGCTTAAGAGTTTTTACAGGTTTGCAGCTACTCCACGATGAACATTGGTCGCGCACATTACATTACTTGGCAGGTGCCAAGTCGGCTTGCACCACGTGCCGACAGTCGAGCCAAGCCAGATGCACTACTTTTGAGGCGCCTCAAAAGGATTCTAGCCACAATACTTCGAATGAAAGACTTTTGAGGCGCCTCAAAAGGATTCTAGCCACAATACTTCGAATGAAAGACTTTTGAGGCGCCTCAAAAGGATTCTAGCCACAATACTTCGAATGAAAGACTTTTGAGGCGCCTCAAAAGGATTCTAGCCACAATACTTCGAATGAAAGACTTTTGAGGCGCCTCAAAAGGATTCTAGCCACAATACTTCGAATGAAAGACTTTTGAGGCGCCTCAAAAGGATTCTAGCCACAATACTTCGAATGAAAGACTTTTGAGGCGCCTCAAAAGGATTCTAGCCACAATACTTCGAATGAAAGACTTTTGAGGCGCCTCAAAAGTCGACCACGTGCCGACAGTCGAGCCAGATGCACTACGTCGAGCACGTTCTGCTCTGCCACGTCGGTCGACTTTGCCAAAACCACCTAAACGTCATTAGCGCACCCCCGCAAAACCTTGTCGATCAGGTTACACAGTTGACCAGAGGAGGCCGCCGACGACCACAGGTCGGCGTCTGCAAGTCAGCGTCATGTTGACGAACTCTGACTTCACTTCGTCGACCGCCGACTTCACTTCGTCGGCCTACACCATGGCCGGCTTTGCCCGAATTCGGCTAAATCTCGAAGTCGGATAACCAAGTCAACTTGCTCCTCCAAGTCAGCGTCGACCACAAAGCCGGCTTCACCGTTCGTTGAAGTCGGCTTCGCAGTGATCGGCTTTGTCGAAGCCGGCTATTTGCCGGAGCCAGCTCCACTGAATTCGGCCAATCAAGCCGACTTTCTCCTCTGAATCGGCACCTACCACGAAATCTAGGATGTGGGATGATGGGACGCCTGCGACGTGCCGGGTCGCATCAGTGCTGACCAAATGCACCTCTTGAGATGCAACTCACTCACTTACTTGTTCCTTTTCTTTTGTTTCTCTGCCCAACCCGTTTCTCCTTCCCCTGTAGTCCATAGCATTGTGGACGATAACGTTCCAGGTCACATCATTGCCGACCAGATGCACCTTTCCAAATTGCTCAAAGAAATCGCAGGTAACTACTTGATACGAATACTTAACTACCTGAATGAAATCGCAAGAAATTGCATGCTAGACTGAGGAGCAGTAATCGCCAACTCACCTTCCTTGGTTGGTGTTGCAACAGCTTCCGAGCAGTTTCAAGAGTTTCTCGTTTAGCCACGCGATAATGTACTGGTTATGAGACGTTTCGAAACCAGTACATAATCATTTATGATCACACCGGAGCATTTCGATAATTCATAGTTTATCTATCCCTCCCTCGTTCTCACATGTGCTATGGCTCCCAATTTCTGCCCATCACCACCCTGATCTCTGTTTCAGATAACGCCATGAAGTTCTCGGAGCAAGGCCGAGTGACAGTGCGGGTGTCCCTGGTGCCTCGAGGGACAAGCTTGCAAGACGCCCTTCATTGCCAGGGTAAGCTGGTTGATGAGCATTACATATCTTTTGGGACGTCTCGAAAGTAAGCCGGTTCATGAGCGTTGACAGATCTGCGAAACGAAATGGCAATGAAGATCGCCCGTTAGGTCCATGCCGATCTAGGAGTGTTGTGGCGTTGTTTTGAGTCAACTCAAGACAAGGATTTAGTTAGCATTTTGGCCGCCAAATTCCGCGGATTTGGAGTGTTGTGGCGGGCTTTTCAACAAGTCGACAATCCTCAGGTCGGATTGCTGGCGGTTGCGAGCCAGCAAACCATGTTTTTTTTAGAATTCTTAAAAATCCATTGGCCCATGCCTCGTCAAGCCAGCTCAGCTCTTCTAAGGGTCTACTCAGAAAGCAACTGATGGCTCATCATCCAGCTGAGCATGGCTCATCATCCAGCTGAGCATGGCTCATCATCCAGCTGAGCATGGCTCATCATCCAGCTGAGCATGGCTCATCATCCAGCTGAGCATGGCTCATCATCCAGCTGAGCATGGCTCATCATCCAGCTGAGCATGGCTCATCATCCAGCTGAGCATGGCTCATCATCCAGCTGAGCATGGCTCATCATCCAGCTGAGCATGGCTCATCATCCAGCTGAGCATGGCTCATCATCCAGCTGAGCATGGCTCATCATCCAGCTGAGCATGGCTCATCATCCAGCTGAGCATGGCTCATCATCCAGCTGAGCATGGCTCATCATCCAGCTGAGCATGGCTCATCATCCAGCTGAGCATGGCTCATCATCCAGCTGAGCATGGCTCATCATCCAGCTGAGCATGGCTCATCATCCAGCTGAGCATGGCTCATCATCCAGCTGAGCATGGCTCATCATCCAGCTGAGCATGGCTCATCATCCAGCTGAGCATGGCTCATCATCCAGCTGAGCATGGCTCATCATCCAGCTGAGCATGGCTCATCATCCAGCTGAGCATGGCTCATCATCCAGCTGAGCATGGCTCATCATCCAGCTGAGCATGGCTCATCATCCAGCTGAGCATGGCTCATCATCCAGCTGAGCATGGCTCGGCTTGACTTTCCTCACGCCCTCCCTCCTCTTCCTTCCATGCTTAACCTTTTTCCTCCAGGCCTTTCCACTGCCGCCAGCAACGCACCAGCGTCCACGCTCACCAGCCGGGCTGCTGCCTTCCTTTTCTCATCATGGGACTGGCTGAAGGAGGCCGTGAGGAGATTGCCAGCAGCAGCGGCAGCGGCGGCAGCAGCAGCAGCAGCGGCAGCGGCAGCGGCGGCAGCGGCAGCATCATCAAGTGCATCGAGCAGCCCATCGCGAGATTGGCCTGCGGTGCTGGTGGTGTCGTGCCGGGACTCAGGATGCGGCCTGCCGCCGTCTCTGCTTGGAGTTCACACCAGCAAGGAGCCGTCGCACTTCTCGCTCGCGGTGAGCTTTTGTTGTTAGCTCTCTCATTGCTGGTGGTGTCGTGCCGAGACTCGGGGTGCGGCCTGCCAGCATCTCTCATTGAAGTTCACAGCAGCAGCAAGGAGCCGTCGCACTTCTCGCTCGCGGTGAGTTGTTGTTGTTAGCTCTCTCGTTGCTGGTAATGTCATGCCGGGACTCAGGATGCGGCCTGCCAGCGTCTCTCCGCGGAGTCCACAACAGCAGGGAGGGGGCGTCGCACTTCTCGCTAGCAGTGAGTTGTTGTTATCAGCTCTCGTGTGGCTGGACTGCTGGTGGTGTCGTGCCGGGACTCGGGGTGCGGCCTGCCAGCGCCTCTCAACGGCGTCCACAGCAGCAAGGAGGCTTCGCCCTTCTCGCTCGCGGTGAGTGTGAATGAATGAATGAACGAACGAACGAACGAACGAACGAACGAAGGAACGAATGAATCAACATGATTGGCGCCTGTCAACCTTGGGATGTGGGATTCGAGCTTCGAGAGGACTCAAAACTCATTCCTCTGTCACGATTCTTTGGGTTGACTCAAAAGTCTTTCCTCAGATCGCCCACAGCAGCGGAGGATATCCGCTTTCGCACTTTCCTCCCATGTTGTCCACTTTCCTCCCATGTTGTCCACTTTCCTCCCATGTTGTCCACTTTCCTCCCATGTTGTCCACTTTCCTCATCTTGGTTTTCTTTGTGCCCGAGTTGAGCTCCCTTCAACTTTTGAAGCGCCTCATAAGTTTCCTCATCTTGATTTTCTTTGTCCTATAGCTCTCTTTGCCCTTCCCTTCCCACTTCCTCAGTTCCTCCTCCCACTTGCTTTCTTTGCAACCTTCCTCTCCATCTCTCCCCTCATTTTGTACCGCGTGCCATCTCCTTCGTTACCTCTCGCTCATTTTTCCCTTATCTCATGCCCACATCTCATGCCTCTATCTTTTTGCATGGCATATGTATGCATGGCATATCTATGCATGGCATGGCATGGCATGGCATGGCATGGCACCCCACCATCCGGCACCCCACCACCCAGGAGTTGCACGAGACAGGGAATGGATCAGGAGCATCACTTGGCCTCGTGCTCATGCACAACATGGTGAGCTTCTTTTCCAGATGGTGAGTGGACGAATCGTCATTGTTGTCGCTTAGTCAGAATGAGTGTAGGTTTGTTTGTTTGTTTGTTTGTTTGTTTGTTTGTTTTTAATGTTATTATTGAATGTGCCACTTTCTTTCTTACACCTCGCAGGTGACTCTAATGAAGGGAGAGATTGCCTTTGATTCCCAACCTGGCTGTGGCTCCACTGTTGCGTTTTCCGTGCCCGTGGCCGTTCCCTCTCTACAAGAACATTCCTTGCTACAAGAACACTCGCTACAAGAACACTGCTCGGACGAGGAACATCAAGTGTTGGAATTGCAAGAGGTGCAGAGTCAGCAGCAACGACAGCATCCTCATTATTATCATCACCTTCAACAGCAGCAGTCGGAGCAGCAGCAGCAGCCGGAGCAGCAGAAGCAGCCGCAGCAGCAGGAACAGCATCAAGAGGAACAGCAGCAGCTGCAAGCACCTCAGCAGCAGCGGGAGCGATCGCTAGCAGGCATGGGGAGGATGGGCAGCGAGGGAGACTGCTCCAGAGCCCTCCAGAGAACATCAGACAGAGAGAGCAGACGGAACGCGAGGAAAAGCATGAGCGGCGAGTACCCCCATCCCATCTCCGCGAATGCAGCTGCTGCCACAAGTACAGGCATGCGGGCAGCGGCGGATGAGGCGGTGACGCGGGCGTGGGTGGGCGGGCTGCGAGTGCTGGTGGTGGACGACACGCCCGTCAACCTCCTCGTGGCCCGCCGCTCCCTCGCCCGCTGGGGGTCGCATTGTGACCACCGCCAACCATGGGCAACAAGCAGTGGACTTAATCGCTGCTGGCTTGCAGGAGTGCTCCCTCACCTGCTGGGGGGCGCTTGTTACCACCGCCCCTTCCGGCCAACAAGCTCTAGAGTTGATCGCTGCTGGGGTGGAGGAGGGGGGGCGAGGAGAGGAGGACAGGAGAGGGGCGGAGATGGGTGCAATGGTTGGAGAGAGGGAGATGCTGGAAAGGAAAGGGAGGGTTGGTGAATTTCTAAGAGGAGAAGCTGGGGGGGCTGGTGATATGGTTGAGAGCAGAGGCAAGGGGATGGTAGCTGGGATTGCCGGGAACAGTGCTGAGGGGATGATGGATAGTTGGGATGGGTATGTGGCGAAGGGAGCAAGTGAAAGAAGCGGGGACGGTAGAGGCGGGGATGGAAGAGGGGAGGATGATAGAGGGGGGCGTGCATCATTGCAGCATGGCTTCGACTTGGTTCTCATGGACCTGCAGATGCCGGGCATGGACGGGTGAGTGGTTGTGAGTGGTGGTGAGTGGTGGGAATGGATAAGTGGGTGATGATAAACACGCAAGGCCACAAGCAAGGTCGCATGTACCTGTTTGTTTGGATTCCTCTTCCTTCCAAGTTCCAAGCACGAGTGGTGGCAGGCGGGCAGGTTGGCAACAGCAGAGGTGTCTCCCAGGTGCGAGCCTGTTTTGCTCCTCCCGTCCCATTTCCAAGGCAACTTCTTTTAAGGCGCCTTACAAGTAGCCTTTTCATGGCAAAGTGTGACCCTGTACTGCACGTTTTGAGAGTTCCCAAAACATAACCCTGTACTGTACTGACCCTCCCTCCGTTGGCAGGTTTGCAGCAACAGAGGCGATTCGAGCATACGAGAGAAAGCTAATGTTGGAGATTGCGCAGGAGGTGGAGCAGGGGAGGCAGCAGGGAGGGGAGCAGGGAGGGGAGCAGGGAGGGGAGCAGGGAGGGGAGCAGGGAGGGGAGCAGGGAGGGGAGCAGGGAGGGGAGCAGGGAGGGGAGCAGGGAGGGCAGCAGGGAGGGCAGCAGGGAGGGGAGCAGGGAGGGCAGCAGGGAGGGCAGCAGGGAGGGGAGCAGGGAGGGGAGCAGGGAGGGCAGCAGGGAGGGGAGCAGGGAGGGGAGCAGGGAGGGGAGCAGGGAGGGGAGCAGGGAGGGGAGCAGGGAGGGGAGCAGGGAGGGGAGCAGGGAGGGGAGCAGGGAGGGGAGCAGGGAGGGGAGCAGGGAGGGGAGCAGGGAGGGGAGCAGGGAGGGGAGCAGGGAGGGGAGCAGGGAGGGGAGCAGGGAGGGGAGCAGGGAGGGGAGCAGGGAGGGGAGCAGGGAGGGGAGCAGGGAGGGGAGCAGGGAGGGGAGCAGGGAGGGGAGCAGGGAGGGGAGCAGGGAGGGGAGCAGGGAGGGGAGCAGGGAGGGGAGCAGGGAGGGGAGCAGGGAGGGGAGCAGGGAGGGCAGCAGGGAGGGGAGCAGGGAGGGGAGCAGGGAGGGGAGCAGGGAGGGGAGCAGGGAGGGAGCAGGGAGGGGAGCAGGGAGGGGAGCAGGGAGGGGAGCAGGGAGGGGAGCAGGGAGGGGAGCAGGGCAGTGAGCAGCAAGGATCAGTGCATTGCGAGAGAGATATTGGAGGGCAACAGGTAAACGTGCAGCTGGGAGACATATGGGAGGTTACAAGGGGGAGTGCAGCAGCGCTGGGGGGGATGCACAGACGGGGCGTGAGCTGTGGAGGGGACTGGGGGAGGGAAGAGAGATTTATGCAAAGGGAACTGGGAGGAAAAGGGCAGATCGAGGAAGCTTCTAGGGCTGGTTCGTCTGCTCTGCCAGCCCTTTCCTCCAACGTTGCTTCTGCTACTTCTTTGAATGCCCAGCCCGTATCTCTGCCGGTGCCAATAGTGGCAACTGCAACTGCTCCTGGTGCCCAGACCGTGTCTCTGAGGGTGCCCATAGTGGCTCTGACGGCAGACGTGGATCGTGGAGTGGTGCAGAGGTGTGCAGAGGGGGGGTTTGACGGTGTGCTGCAGAAGCCAGTGGATGCCCACCTGCTCGCCGCCCACCTCTCCCAGATAAGCTTCCAGAGGTCACTACGGTGGTAGCAGTCCTTCCCAACCCACCTCTCCCAAACGCACTTTCAACAAACCCCAGACCCCTTCTTGAAGGGATGACTGCAAGAAAACCCTAATTCTGGCGTTCGGGTGATACTGGGCGGCCTAACCTGTCCTCTTCTTCCCCACTGCATACCATCTCATGAACCCTTCTCCCTCCAGAGTGTCTGTCTGGAGAATCTGTCATCAGTTAGTGTGGTAGTGACCTGTGTAGCACCCTGAGTGAGTGAGTGAGTGAGTGAGTGAGTGAGTGAGTGGTGGCAGGGGTGCAAGCGAAGGAGTGGTTGCTGCTGGAGCGATTGCTACCACTGCTGGAGTGATTGCTACCACTGCTGGAGCGATTGCTCCCGCTGCTGGAGCGATTGCTACCGCTGCTGGAGCGATTGCTACCGCTGCAGTGAGTGATGGAAGCTTATTTGGAAGAGGTGGGCGGCGAGCAGGTGAGTGTGTTGGAGAGAGTGCTACCGTCTAAGAGAGCGGTGGAAGCTTATTTGGGAGAGGTGGGCTGGGAAGGACTGCTACCGCCGTAGTGACCTCTGGAAGCTTATTTGGGAGAGGTGGGCGGCGAGCAGGTGGGCATCCACTGGTTTCTGCAGCACACCGTCAAACCCCCCCTCTGCACACCTCTGCACCACTCCGCGATCCACATCTGCTGTCAGAGCCACTATGGGCACCCGCAGAGACATGGCCCACCCACCAGCAGCAGCACCACCAGCAGCAGCAGTGGCAGCGGCAGAAGCAGCAGCACCATCACCAGCACTAGCACCAGTAGGGGCTCCGGCAACGGCTGCAGCAGGGTTGGAGGCTTTTTGGGGAAGAACATGCAGAGCAGACGAAGCAGCCCCTGAAGCACCCTCGTTTCGCCCTTCTCCTCCCATTTGCAACCGCAAAAATCTCTCTCCCCTGCCCCCTCTCTCCCCCACACGTCCATCCCAGTCACCTCCCCAACTCACACCCCGCCTGTGAATCTCCCCCAGCGATGCTGCTCCCCCTTCTGCAGCCTCGGATCTGCCTCTCTGTTCCTCTCTACTCCCCACATCTCCGTGCCTTGACTCCACCTCTGAAGCGACTGCAACTGTTGCAGGCCCTGCAGCAGCAGCAGCAGCAGCATGTGCTGCTGTTCCCACATCTGTCATCAGTTGGGCCTCTGTTGCTCTCCCCAACACAGTCTTCCTCTCAAGAGCTCGAATCGCCTCTGCCACTGCAAACCTGTAGGGGAGACGAAAGGGGAAGTTCTGACTTGGATTGGCATCTGATAGCTTGAGTTGAGACATAAGGATGAGGCAGAGGCATGAAGAATAAGGATGAGGTACCAACCATGCGGCAAGCAAAAGCAATACTTTTACCACTCACCTGCCATGCCATGGCAGGACCATACAGCGTGCATATCCAACAGCAATAACAGCGACAAGAGTAGTAACTACAAGAAATAACAGCAAGGCATATCCAACAGGGCATGCATGCCTCGCCACTCGACACTCACCCGTCCATGCCATTCCATATCCATCACTCACCACCCCGCTCCACCACTCACAACTACTCACCCGTCCATGCCCGGCATCTGCAGGTCCATGAGAACCAAGTCAAAGCCATGCTGCAACCATGACGCACCCCCACCTCTCTCATCCTCCCCTCTTCCATCAACGCCTCTACCATCCACTCCTCTCTCCTCCCCTCCTCTTTCACTCGCTACCATTGCCCCATCCCTACTATCCGACGTCCCATACGCTCTGCTCCCGGCCATCCCAGCCGCTAGCCCCCTTCCTGTACACTCAACTAGCACCTCAGGCCCCCCGGCTCCTGCTCTCGCTACTTCACCAACCACCCCTCTTGCTTCCAGCACCCCTTCCAAAACCATCGCACTCGCTCCCTCCCCTCTCTCTTCCTGCCATCCTCTCCCTTCCTTCTCTCTTCTCCCCGCCTCCTGCCCTCTACCCTCCGCCACCCCAGCAGTTATCAACTCAACTGCCTCCTCCCCTCTGAAGGCGGTGGTGGCATGGGCACCCCAGCAGTCTCTCTCTTCCTCCACACCGGCAGCGATCAACTCTAGAGCTTGTTGGCCGGAAGGGGCGGTGGTAACAAGCGCCCCCCAGCGGGAAAGGGAGCACTCCTGCAAGCCAGCAGCGATTAAGTCCACTGCTTGTTGCCCATGGTTGGCGGTGGTCACAAGCGCCCCCCAGCGGGCGAGGGAGCGGCGGGCCACGAGGAGGTTGACGGGCGTGTCGTCCACCACCAGCACTCGCAGCCCCCCCACCCACGCCCGCGTCACCGCCTCATCCGCCGCTGCCCGCAATCCGGCAGTTGCGGCAGTGGATTCAGTTACAGTCATGGATCGACGAAAGCTGTCGCTTGCTCTCCCTCCTGCTCTTCTTTCAAATGTTGTCGAGCCTTCTCCTGCACTGCCCGCCCTAACCATCTCCAAAGATCGCTCCCGTTGCTGCCGTGGTTGCTGCTGCTGCAACTGCTGCTGCTGCAACTGCTGGTGCTGCTGTTGCTGCTGCCGTTGCTGCTGCTGTGGCTGCTGGTTGGGTTTCTGTTGAACCACCTGGGAAATCTCCTGGCTGTACTGCGTAGGCAGAGTCATCTCTTGGCATTGCTCCATTGGTTCCGACCCATAATTCTGCGTACTGCTGCCGACACCTGAACAATCACCTGACCCTGTTTCCTGACTCTCACTGAAACATGACGCCTCCCCTTGCTGCTGCTGCTGCTGACTCTGCAATTCTTGCGACACCAACACTTTTGATTTCTCGTCTGGGTGGTGCTCTTGGAGCGAGCAGTGTTCTTGTAGCGAGGGAACGGCCACAGGCACGGAAAACGTCACAGTGGAACCACAGCCAGGCTGAGAATCGAAGACAATCTCTCCCTTCATTAAAGTCACCTGCAGTTCGTATAAAAGAAAGTGGCACACTTCTCAAAACCCTGCACTTATTCCAGCCAAGCGTACAATCCCTTTTTTTTTTAGGAAAAGGGTAAGAACAAAGAAGAGTCGACTAGCGAGCAAGCAGCGACAACGATCAAAGCACTCACCATCTGGTGCATGAGCACAAGCCCGAGCGATGCTCCTGATCCACTTGCTGCCTCATGTAGCTCCTGCATGATGGTGTGCATGCCATGCCATGCCGTGCCGTGCCGTGCCATGCCGTGCCATGCCATGCCATGCCATGCCGTGCCGTGCCATGCCGTGCCATGCCATGCCGTGCCATGCCATGCCGTGCCATGCCATGCCATGCCATGCCATGCATGAGATATGGGAGCGATGAGCGAAGAAATGAAGGAAAAGAGCAGGGATGAGAAGAAGTGAGGAGCTGGAACGAGAAGGAGCGCGATTGTGCTGCATTTGGGAATTCTCACAGGTGACTGGAGAGCAAATGGGAGAGTAAGGCAAGATATTTGGATCACATTGATCGGGAATGACCTATATAAACCTCCGTGGACTTGAGAGCCAGTGAGCGGCAGTAACACCCACACCGATTACAACTCACCGCAACATAAGTGCTAATAACACCAATAACAACTCACCGCAAGCAAGCAGTATGGAGCCTGCCCGCTACCCTTGGGTCCGAGCAGAGACAGTGACATGCCGCACCCCAAATCCCGGCATGGCACCAGCAGCAACGAGAGAGATAATAGCAACATAGCAACTCACTGCGAGTGACAAGTGCGAAGCCCTCCCTGCTCCTGTGGACTCCTACTCAAAGGAGAGACAGTGGCAGGCAGCACCCCGAGTCCCGTGTGCCACAGGTGGCACCAATAACAGCCGCTCATTCACCCCCGCCGCAAGTGACATGAGAGTAATTACAAGCCTTAATACAAGCGCGAAGTGCGACGCTTTCCTGCTGGCCATCCCCAATCCCGGCACGGCACCATCAGCAGTGTGAGAGATAAAAGCAACATAGCAACTCACTGCGAGCGACAAGTGCGAAGGCTGGCTGCTGCTGTGGAATCCAAGCAGAGGTGCTGGCAGGCCGCACCCCGAATCCTGGCACGACACCACCAGCACACCCGGTTGCTGCCTGGATCCGCCTGGGCTGCTCGATGCACCTGATGCTGCTGCTGCAGCTGCTGCTGATGCTGCTGCCGCAGCTGCTGCTGATGCTGCTGCTGATGCTGCTGCCGCAGCTGCTGCTGATGCTGCTGCCGCAGCTGCTGCTGCCACTGCTGGCAGTTTCCTGACGGCCTCATTTAGCCAGCTCCATTTTGAGAAAGACCAGGCACCAGCCTGGCTGGTGAGAGTGGCCGTTGGTGCGCGAGGGGTGGGTGTGGAAGGAGGGAGAGAGATGGAAGGAGGGGGGGAGAGGGCATGAGGGGTGCCGAATATTCGATATGTGCGAGTGCATGGGCATGAAAAACTGCTGATTGTGATTGCTGGGAATGGAAGCGAGAGCAGCTGGCCAAAGAAGGGCAGACAAACAATCGGGGCAAAACACCGTGACACCTCGCCTTTGCCATTGGTGTCAATTGCGGTTTGAGTGACCAGTCAGTGATGATGGTTGGTTGGATTGGACAACCCCACATGAGGGTGTTTTTTTAGTCGACTCAAAAGTCACCCCACATGAGGTTGTTTTTTGAGTCGAATCAAAAGTCAACCCCACATGAGGGTGTTTTATGAGTCGACTCAAAAGTCAAACCCACATGAGGGTGTTTTTTTAGTCGACTCAAAAGTCAACCCCACATGAGGGTGTATTATGAGTCGACTCAAAAGTCACCCCACATGAGGTTGTTTTTTGAGTCGAATCAAAAGTCAACCCCACATGAGGGTGTTTTATGAGTCGACTCAAAAGTCAACCCCACATGAGGGTGTTTTTTTAGTCGACTCAAAAGTCAACCCCACATGAGGGTGCCTTTTTAGTCGACTCAAAAGTCAACCCCACATGAGGGTGTTTTTTTAGTCGACTCAAAAGTCAACCCCACATGAGGGTGCTTTTTTAGTCGACTCAAAAGTCAACCCCACATGAGGGTGCTTTTTTAGTCGACTCAAAAGTCAACCGCACATGAGGGTGCTCAAAAGCCAAGGGCAAGTGGACAAGCAAAGAGCTGGCTGGCTCAGTCAAGCAAAGTTTGTGCTCCCACCCAACCAAGTCAAGCAACAAGACTAGCAGGGCTTTGAGAGCCAGTGCCCTGTCTCAACTCAACTCAAGTCATGTCAAACCGAGCCGAGCCTACTTGACGTGCCAGAAGCGGCTCAGAGGCTCGTCGGCTTGTCGATTAGCCCAACAAAAGAAGTGCCTAGCTCCTAAAAACCGCCAGGAGGGATTAGCAAAGTTTGTGTGCCAGAGATCTGGCCGACAAAAATGCAAAGCAAAAGATTTGCGGAGAGATTAGCAAAGTTTATGTGCCGGAGATCTGTGGCGCCAGTGTGGAAGGTGAAAGGCTGAACCTGCGCTGATCTGGTAGGTAGGCACACTGCAAACTCTGAGTCGATATGGCAGTGTGCTGCGCGCTGCGAAAGGCTTAATCCGTGCAGGACTGGTCGGCGAGATGCCTTGCCATTTTCTCACCCAGATCTATTGATGCTCACAAATTGGCCTACCCTGGTAATGAAGGGTATCTTGCAAGCTTGTCCCTTGCGGCACCAAGGACACCCGCACTGTCACGCGGCCTTGCTCCGTGAACTTCACTGCGTTATCTGAAACGAAACCAGGGGAGTAGTGTGCAGCAAAGAAAAACCCTATGAAAAGCCCTTTGAAAATCCACAAAGAATGACAGACAGAATGTGAACACACAAACATATCCAAGCTGAGTGAGGAAGGCATGTGGCAGTTATCAATGCTTACTATAACATGCAGTGGTGGGCACATCAAGCAACACGTTACCACATTGTTGCTATTATTGACATGCCAACTTTGGTTGTGCAGTACAGTAGTACGTCTCTCAAAGCGAGGTGACTTTTGAGTCGACTCAGAAGTCACCTTGCAGTGGTACGTCTCTGGAAACTACTTGACGTCTTAGAATCACCACCTGTCTTACAAATATCACCACAATTTACCTCAAGTGCCTGTGATCTCTTTGAGCACTTAGGGGAGGTGCATCTGGTTGAAAACGATGTGACTCGGAACGCATTTGAGGTGACTGGACTTGGAAAGCATCATACCAGACGTCTTACAATCACCAAGTGCCTGTGGTCTCTTTGAGCACTTAAAGGAGGTGCATCTGGTCGGCAACAATACAAGACGGGAAGGCATGATATGATTGGACTACATGCTTTACAGTCGTCACATGTCCTACAATCTTCATCACCATGCATCAATCCATGTACCTGTGATATCTTTAAGCAGTTTGGAGAGGTGCAAATGGTCCGACCACAGTGGTCGGCAACGATGCAGATCAGAACTTATGAAATTTCTCAGAAGTCACGGAACACACACATGGGTGAACAATGAGATGACTGGACTTGAGAATGCATTGTGTCTTACAGTCCCATGTACCTGTGATTTCTCTGAGCACTTTGGAGAGGTGCATGTGAACTGGAACACACATGAATGGCTGACGACATGATTGAACACTACAACACATGACCACATGCCTTACAATCATAATCAGGTAAGTACCTGTGATCTCTCTGAGCACTTTGGAGAGGTGCATCTGGTCGGCAACAATGCAACCTGAAACGTTGTCGTCCACAATACCGTGCACTAGAGGAGAAATAGGTTGGGCAGAGAAACAAAAGAAAATGAAAAAAAGAATCAGTTACGGCCAACAACACGGGGGAGATTGTTCATGCACTGCAGGCCGAAGCATGGGCCGGCCCCGAACCAGCCCACTCCAGGACTGCCCCTGCCAGCCACATCGGCGGGTTAGGCCCGGGCCCGAGGAACGGTGAAAAGGGTCGGGACGAGATAGGTTTGGGTCAGGCCACACGCAGTCTGGGTCACACACAGTTTGGGCCACACGCAGTTTGGGCCACACGCAGTTTGGGTCACACGCAGTTCCGGTCACACGCAGTTCGGGTCACACACAGTTCGGGTCACACGCAGTTCGGGTCACACACAGTTCGGGTCACACGCAGTTTGGGTCACACACAGTTTGGGTCACACGCAGTTTGGGTCACACACAGTTCGGGTCACACACAGTTCGGGTCACACACAGTTCGGGTCACACACAGTTTGGGTCACCTAGAGAGCATCATTAGATGTAATCACATAACGTGCTATTCTTAATTTCTTCTGCACTTTATAGATGAATACCCGTGCATATGAAGTGTGCACCCGCAGTAGACTGTGCACGCTTTCCCCCCTTCCATACACATGCTCTATCTACATCTCTCTGTGTTGTGCGTTGTCCATTTTCTACCTCCTTGCCTGCCTTTACCAATGTCTTGTTCACTCACACGCAATGCCTTTGGAGCGCGCTTCCTCTGCGTGCCAGTGCAACGCAGCATCCAGCCACTCCCGCACGTCAATCACCGTCTCATCCACCACCGCCTTGCCTGCCTCCAGTTTCGCCAGGTCCAACACGCGGTTGACCAGATGCAGGGCATCCATTGCACACCCCCGTGCCGTGAGGAGGTCTGACAGCTCAGGGGGCTGGAGAGCCATGTCCGCTAGCGCATCGAGCATGCCTGGTGGGAGAGAGCAATAAAGTAAGAGGAAGGGTGTATGGTGTCATGAGGATGTTGGAAGGTGTGATAGCTTGGAGGGTTGGAGAGTCATGTCCGCCAAAGCATCAGCATGCCTGGAGTGAGAGAGCGATGAAGTAAGAGGAAGGGTTTATTGTGCCATGAGGACGTGGAGGGGTGAAAGCTCAGGGGGGTGGAGAGTTATGTCCGCAAGGCGAGGGCATCGAACATGCCTGTAGGAGAGACTGTTTGTGTAGGGTATCAGGGAGATGTATAGTGAAGTGATAGAAGATTTATCATGGGGAAGGTGATGAGGACGAGCCTCGAAAGCAATGTGGGATGCGTAGTCCACGGTATGGTTAAGGATCCAGGGTGAATGTTAGAAATGTGAGAAGTTTATAGCATTGGTTTGAGACTTGCATGTGTTGAATGTACATCATTCTGAGTGCACGTCGTCGTAACGTCTTGCCCAGTTCACATATCATTCATGCTTGCATTGTTTGCATGAGCATACCTCATTATGCATAGTTGTAGAAATTTGTTATCCATGTGTTCTTCTCCAACTTTGAATGCTTAATCACGTAAGAGAAATTTAGAGATTTCCAATTATATCAAGATTGACTGATTCCGACCAAAATCGACCAAATCAGAATGTTTCAAAGACTTGGGCATTCTCCTTTCATGTTTGAATATTATATAATTTAGGTATTCATTTAAAATGCTTGAGGTCAGGGTTTATGGTTAGGAAGGAACATCTTGACTTTTGGATGAATTTTGCAACTAGACTAGATTCCAACTAGATTGAATTTAGCAATGGACACCACAATGATGCTATGATGGGATTGCATTTTTTGTGCTAAGAAGGTTCATACCATTTTTCCTTGGCTCTTAAAGAACATTTTTTTCACAAGGTTCTCTTGAAATCTCCAACTCTAACATTCTATGTTCTTATATTTGTGCTTCCTTCAGCTTTTTAGTCATGCAATAGCTACACTTTCATCATTCATTTTCACTCTATGGATAACCTCTTTCAAAATTGTAAATTAGAGCCTAAAGATGGCATCTAAGACCACAACGCGAAAACCTACCGAGCAGATTTGCGTTTAGTCAAGAATTGAATATGTCATGAGCTCTCAAATTTGACGGATCCTCGGCCAACAACATGCGGCGGTCAAAACAAACAACAACAGTGATAATATAATCTTACCAGCGATGCCCATCATCGGTGTTCTGAGCTCATGCGACATGTCCGCCACGAAGATCCTCTTTGACGCCTCTGCTCCCTCCAAATCTTCCTCACGCACCTAAAAGACCAGACCCGGTAATACGCAAAAACTGTACGTACCGATGATCCCCATCATTGGTGTTCTGAGCTCATGTGACATGTCCGCCACAAAGATCCTCTTTGACGCCTCTGCTCCCTCCAAATCTTCCTCACGCACCTAAAAGACCAGACCCGGTAATACGCAAAAACTGTACGTACCGATGATCCCCATCATTGGTGTTCTGAGCTCATGCGACATGTCCGCCACGAAGATCCTCTTTGACGCCTCTGCTCCCTCCAAATCTTCTTCACGCACCTAAAAGACCAGACCCGGTAATACGCGAACACTGTACGTACCGATGATCCCCATCATTGGTGTTCTGAGCTCATGCGACATGTCCGCCACAAACATGCTCTTTGACGCCTCTGCATCCTCGGCCTTCCTCCTCAGCCTGTCGGCGTCTGCCATCTGCTGCTGGGTCTGGAAGAACTGCGCTCGTTGGATCCGCGCCGTCAGCAGCACGAGCAGCACGAGGAGGAGGGTAAAGAGGGCGATGAGGATGGGGATTCCCCATGATTGCCACGTGTTGGGAGGTTGGGTGTGCCTGGATGAGGGAGAAGAGAATAAGAGGGACGTATGGAACAATTGTACAGATGCATAGGAGATCAATGCAAGGATGAGAGAAAACAATATTTGGCCTGCACAGCGCATCGTGCATGGCATAGACATTGTGACTTTTGAGTCGACTCAAAAGTCACCTCGCATCGCGCATGGCATAGACATTGTGTGAGATAAAAAGGATGCGCATGCATGTATTGTGCCATGGGAGCAGAAGGCCATCAGTAAGATAGGATAAGCGAATAAGGAGGATGCGAGTTTATTACCATAACAACATGCAAACAATTCTATGTAAAAAATAAAGAAGAAAAAAGAGGATTTAGTAATGCTTCTAAATGCCCAACAATGTTCACTCACGAGCACCGGTCCTCCCCTCCCAGTAGGTCCGAAGTCGCTTTGAATCAACACAAGAATTACTCACCTGCACCAAGCCTCCATACTTGTGTAACCCCAATCCCCGCAAAAGCTTACTCACAGCTTCACAAGAAGCTCAATCACAACCACACGACGAGCTCACTCCCTCACCTGCACCAGGTCTCGTACTTGCACACGCTCGCTCCCAGCTCATCCAGAGGCACTACGACCGGTCCCTTCCAGGGGCACCTTTCAGCGAGAGGAGAGAGAATCATGCGAGCGACAAGATAGGACCCACATTGACATTGGCAACTCACCTGCACCAGGCCTCATACTTGCGCACGCCCGCTCCCAGCTTGTCCAGAGGCACCACGGATGGTCCCTCCCAGGGGCGGGTTTCGGAGAGAGGCGAGGGAAGCATGTAGGAGCGAGAGTCGTCCGGGCGGAAATAAGCGTGAGGGGGGACTGGTGAGACGATGGCGAAGAGAGAGGCTGGGTCGGTGATGTCGTATAGCTCAAAGGATTTTGATGAGTCTGGATGGGAAGGGGGGAGGGAGGGGAGGGATGGAGAGAGGAAAGACGGGGAGAAGGGAGGCTTGTGTAGATGCCTCAGAAACAGACGATGGCGAAGAGAGAGGCTGGGTCGGTGATGTTGTATAGCTCAAAGGACTTTGATGGGTGAAGAAAGAAGACACGTCGGTAACGTGTTACATCTCAAATGATTTTTATAAGTATGAATAGCGGGGACAGATGGGAGGGGGAGGGGGTGAAAATGGGGGGAGGGGGGGATGGGAGGATTAAGAGAAAGGAAGGAGAAGGACGGAGCCTCATAATAACCCTGTAGACCACACAGCACGAGAGTAGGAACCAAAGGTCTTACATGACTTATGATTAAGGTGAAAAGCATGGGTGCATGCACTCGACTCTTTGAGAGAGAAGCCAGGTCTTTTTGAGAATTCTCAAAGAAGTCAGGTCTGTAACATCGTACATCTTGAACGATTTCGACTAGTTTAGATGGAGGAAAAGGGGGAGAGAGGTTCGGAGGGGAGGTTGGGGAGAGACTAGGAGGGATGAAGCATTAAAAATTCTAATGTATATATGGAGAGAGCAAGAGAATGGTTGACCATGAGAGCACTTGTACGTTGACCTCTCAACCTGCAGCTGCAGCTCTATATATGTGCAGCTGCAGCTCTACATATATATGTTGCCTGACAAATGCGGAGCCAACCTTGTACTTGCAACTTTGGATAGGAACTCACCAGCTTCACTCACCAGCGGCATACAGCTCTTCACTCACCAGCGGCATACAGCTCTTCACTCACCAGCGGCATACAACTGTTCTAGGACCTTCTGTGCAATGGATGCCACGTCATGTCAACCGATGTAGCAAGTGACACGCTGCTGACTAGCTCGTGTGGTAGGTGGTGTGGTGAGGCGAGTACACTAGGTGCATATCGCCCCTCACTCACCACATGCATACAGCTCCTCTAGGACCTTCTGTGCGATGGATGCCACGTCAACGGATGCAGCACCATGTAAGAGCACAAGGGGCCATCAATATGGAGTACAGCCCCTCACTCACCAGGTGCATACAGCTCCTCCAGGACCTTTTGTGCGATGGATGCCACGTCAACGGAGGCAGCAAGCGTCCCATACACCATTGATGCCGAGGCAGCGGCCCTGCTTGTGTTAACCTGAGACAGATTGCCCTGAAGTGGGAACCCCACACCTGCAGTAGCGACAATGTGAGGGCAAAACAATTAGGCACATATCTTCTTCTGAGAGTATGTTGGCCCCACCAGCTCTTGCCTCAACTGAAGCTCCAGATACTAATATTTTACTCTGCCCGTGTTTCCTTTAACCTGCCCTCACAAGTGTTCTCCAAGCATTTCTCCGAACCAGAGGCAAGAGTTAAACAAGGAAAACACGCTGTATGTCATGGAGCATAACTAGCAATAACTCGCTCACCAGATCTGCAAATATATACATATATATACGTATATATACATATATATGCCTAAATATACATATATAAACGTGACTCACCGGAGCCAGCATGATCGGGAGGGCTTCCCATGGGATACGGCCACGTGTAAGGCGGCTTTCCCGCCACAGCGAGCATCTGTTTCCCAAGGCGCCTCAATAACTAGCGTGACTCACCAAATCCATTATGATCGGGAGGGCTTCCCATGGGATACGGCCACGTGTACAGCGGCTTTCCGGCCACAAGAAGTGGAATCTCTGTGGAGAATCGCTTCATAAGGTCGATGTTCCATGACCCGTTCAGTGCCACGACTGTGGAGAAATCGAGGATCTTGGGGCAGTAGATGGGGCGGTGGGCGCTCACGTTCTTAGTGTTGTCCCTGATGCTGCCGTAGTGCCACTCAAAGGCTGACCTGCAATGATGTGTGTGGTGTGTGTGGGGTAAACAAAACAAAACAGTCAATTGATGATGATAAGAGTGTTGTCTCTAATCCCACCGTACTGTCGCTAAAAGGCACCCTGAAGTGATGAGTTTGGTGCAAGGTAAACAAAACAAAACAGACAGTTAGCATGTTGTCTCTAACGTTGACGTGCTGTTGCCCCACCCTCACATCCACCCACCCTCACATCTACCCACCCTCACATCCACCCACCCTCACATCCACCCACCCTCACATCCACCCATCCTCACATCCTCCCAACCTCCCATCCACCCATCCTCCCATCCACCCATCCTCCCATCCACCCATCCTCCCATCCACCCAACCTCCCATCCACCCATCCTCCCATTCACCAACCCCCACATCCCCTTTCCCTAGCTCACCTCTCCGCATCCCTGACAAAGACGCACACACCTCAAGAAATGGATGCTGAATTCGATTACCCCCTCTCACCTCTCCACATACCTGACAAAGACACACGCAGTCGCCCCCGTGTTGCCCGGGCGGGCATAGGCTAGGCGGCGTGGAAGTAAGGTAAGCCTCCTGGACCTGCACTCTTCCTGCGGCTCTCCCCCTTCCCCTCCCCCCATTTCCCCTCCTCACCTCTCCTCATCCGTGACAAAGACACATGCAGTTGCCCCCGTGTTGCCTGGGCGGGCATAGGCGGTGGAAGTAAGGTACGCCTCCCACGTGCTTCCGTTCAAGCACCTGTCCAAACCCCACTTGCCCCTCCGCCCTGGTTTTCCCATCACTGATATGATGCCTGTGAGTGTCTGTGCATGGGATGACAGGGAGAAGAGAAGAGAACAACAATAGGGCATTAGCATCACTGAAATGATCCCTGTGAGTGTCTGTGGCAAGGTAGGAGGGCAGCGTGACGACAACAACGATCACAGGAAGAAGAATAACAGAAACAAGATCAGGAACAGGAGCACGGAAATGGCAGGAACAAGAACATGGCAGGAACAAGAACATGGCAGGAACAAGAACATGGCAGGAACAAGAACATGGCAGGAACAAGAACATGGCAGGAACAAGAACATGGCAGGAACAAGAACATGGCAGGAACAAGAACATGGCAGGAACAAGAACATGGCAGGAACAAGAACATGGCAGGAACAAGAACATGGCAGGAACAAGAACATGGCAGGAACAAGAACATGGCAGGAACAAGAACATGGCAGGAACAAGAACATGGCAGGAACAAGAACATGGCAGGAACAAGAACATGGCAGGAACAAGAACATGGCAGGAACAAGAACATGGCAGGAACAAGAACATGGCAGGAACAAGAACATGGCAGGAACAAGAACATGGCAGGAACAAGAACATGGCAGGAACAAGAACATGGCAGGAACAAGAACATGGCAGGAACAAGAACATGGCAGGAACAAGAACATGGCAGGAACAAGAACATGGCAGGAACAAGAACATGGCAGGAACAAGAACATGGCAGGAACAAGAACATGGCAGGAACAAGAACATGGCAGGAACAAGAACATGGCAGGAACAAGAACATGGCAGGAACAAGAACATGGCAGGAACAAGAACATGGCAGGAACAAGAACATGGCAGGAACAAGAACATGGCAGGAACAAGAACATGGCAGGAACAAGAACATGGCAGGAACAAGAACATGGCAGGAACAAGAACATGGCAGGAACAAGAACATGGCAGGAACAAGAACATGGCAGGAACAAGAACATGGCAGGAACAAGAACATGGCAGGAACAAGAACATGGCAGGAACAAGAACATGGCAGGAACAAGAACATGGCAGGAACAAGAACATGGCAGGAACAAGAACATGGCAGGAACAAGAACATGGCAGGAACAAGAACATGGCAGGAACAAGAACATGGCAGGAACAAGAACATGGCAGGAACAAGAACATGGCAGGAACAAGAACATGGCAGGAACAAGAACATGGCAGGAACAAGAACATGGCAGGAACAAGAACATGGCAGGAACAAGAACATGGCAGGAACAAGAACATGGCAGGAACAAGAACATGGCAGGAACAAGAACATGGCAGGAACAAGAACATGGCAGGAACAAGAACATGGCAGGAACAAGAACATGGCAGGAACAAGAACATGGCAGGAACAAGAACATGGCAGGAACAAGAACATGGCAGGAACAAGAACATGGCAGGAACAAGAACATGGCAGGAACAAGAACATGGCAGGAACAAGAACATGAACAAGAACATGGCAGGAACAAGAACATGGCAGGAACAAGAACATGGCAGGAACAAGAACATGGCAGGAACAAGAACAGGGCAGGAACAAGAACATGGCAGGAACAAGAACATGGCAGGAACAAGAACATGGCAGGAACAAGAACATGGCAGGAACAAGAACATGGCAGGAACAAGAACATGGCAGGAACAAGAACATGACAGGAACAAGAACATGGCAGGAACAAGAACATGGCAGGAACAAGAACAGGGCAGGAACAAGAACAGGGCAGGAACAAGAACATGGCAGGAACAAGAACATGGCAGGAACAAGAACATGGCAGGAACAAGAACATGGCAGGAACAAGAACATGGCAGGAACAAGAACAGGGCAGGAACAAGAACATGGTGTCAGAACTTGAGCTTAGAATAGAAACTCTAGTAGTGAGCTCAAAGCTCTTTAAGTACATCCGGAATGAGTAAGGTAGGGATGAGGAGGGAATCAGGAGGCAATCCTAGGGAATCAAGGGTAATCCCAAGGCAATCTCCAATTGGTGGGTTGGAGATTGCTTGGAGATTACATTTGGGTTTGGTTGGGATGTGGGTGTACACCCAACCAAACACAAAGTGCAAACTACACTAAACTAGGATATAAAAGTTCAAGTACAAAATGTGAGATTGGGGCCTAACACCAACACCCCCCCTGAGGCGTCAATCGAACTCATGGCGGAGAGGGAGGAGCGCAGAGCCCCATGGCGCCAAGGAGACGATGGTGGGGAACCTTCCCAAGGGGCTTGGTGAACAGGTCAGCCAGGTTGCAGTCAGATGCCACGTATTCCACCTTCAGCTGCTCTTGTTGCACAAGGTGACGAATGAAGAAGTGCCGAAGTTCAATATGCTTGGTGCGGGTGTGATACACAGGGTCTTGAGAGATGTGGATGGTACTCTGGTTGTCACACCAGAGGGTGGGGGCTGACTGAGGGAAGCCAAGCTCCTGGAGTAGGAAGGTGAGCCAACGGGCCTCCTGAGCAGCCATGGTGCCTGCGTAGAGCTCCGCCTCACAGGAGGAGAGGGAGACTGCAGACGACCTGGTGGAGCGCCAACTGACAGTTCCGCTCCCGAGGGTGAAGCAGTACCCCTGAGAGGAGCGTCGGTCGGTCTGGTCATCAGCCCAGGAGGAATCTGTGTAACCTTCCAGGCGAGGAGGGGAGAGCCCACCGAGTGTGAGAACGTGGGACTTTGTGCCCTTAAGATAGCGCAGCACCCGCTTTGCTGCCTTCCAATGAAGATTAGTGAAGCGACCCGGGGCCACGTAACGAGAGCGAACACTGACTGGGTAGGCCAAGTCCGGTCGGGTGCACATCATGGCGTACATGAGGGACCCAACAAGTTCCGGGTATGGCTCAGAGCAGGCTTCTGGTGTGGGTACAGCAGGAGCTGTAAGGAGGTGTTGCAGCGGCAGCGGGGTGGCAACAGGTGTGCACAGCTCCATCTCAAACCGCTTGAGCACATTGTCGATGTAGAACTCCTGGGAGAGTGAGATGGTGCGAGCCTTGCGATCACGAGTGATCTCCATTCCCAGGTAGTGCTTGAGGTCACCGAGGTCTTTCATCTGGAGGGCCTTGCTCAGGGCTGCCTGGACTGAGGTCATTTGGGCCGAGTCCTTGGCAACGAGGATAAAATCATCCACGTAGACTAGGATGTAGAATGGCTCAGAATGACGACGGATGAAGAGAGTCGGGTCAGCAGTTGAGGGGTGGAAGTCCAGGGAGAGGAGGACTTCTTTCACCTTGTTGTGCCATTCGCGAGGGGCTTGTTTAAGGCCGTAGACGGGGCGATTCAGCTTCCAGACAGTGTTGGGAGGGAATTCTCCTGGGAAGCCTTCTGGTCTGTCCATGAACACTGTCTCCTTGAGACGTCCTTGTAGGAAGGCGGAGGAGGCATCCATGGATTTGATCTCAAAGTCTTCTCGAGCTGCAACATCCATGAGCGTTCGAATGGTGGGAGGTTTGGATGTGGGGGAGAAGATTAGGTCGAAGTCGCGGTACCGCTGCTGGGTGAAGCCCTTGGCTACGTAACGCGCTTTGAACACCGGTGCCTCGTCTGGGAGCTGTTTTACACGGAACAACCACTTGCCCCCGACGATGTTGACTCCTGGAGGTGGAGTCTCGTCGTCAAAGGAGTGGTTGCGAGTGAATGCTGCAATCTCCGCGTCCATGGCAGCACGCCATTCGGCAGCATGAGGGCCTGAGAGAGCCTCTTGGATGGTGAGAGGGATAGGGATGGTCGGGTTCTCCGCGAGGTTGAGGGAGGGTGAGCCAGTGATATCGGGGAAGATGTGTGAGAGCTGAGGAATGACTGCATGGAGATCACACAGCTCCTCATGCCTGTCTTCTAGAAGGGTAGAGGGCACATCCCCCCTAGCAGGAGGAGGCGGTGTGATCGTTGTGTATCGAAGAACCATTGCGAGTGGAAGAGCAGCGCGATGGGAGCGGGTGCCATGAGCCACCGGTGAGGAGGGTGGGGCAGGCGGTGTCGGAGATGGTGACTTAGGAGGCTTGGGTGGGGGAATGGGCCGCCGGCGGTACGTGATCAGCTCGGGCGACTGTGGGAGAGCGGGTTCCTCTGTGGTGGGGGGAACTGGGGGAGGAGGTGGGGCCGGAGGGTGGGACCGCCGATGGTTGGTGATAGGTGCGCTCGGAGGGGGCGGTGCAGCGGGAAGTGAGGAAGGTGAGGGGGGGGGCGGAGCAGCTGCCGAAGACACCGGTGAGGCCGGGTCAGAGACCTCAGAGGGAGATGGTGGGATGGCAGGAGAGAGAGGAGGTGAGGGGGCAGGAGCAGGCGGGAGGTCGGGAGGCGCGTCAAAGTCTGCCCACACGAGGGAGGGTGGATCAGGGAGAGGGTCCCGTCCTGAAGGGGAGTAGAATGGGCGGGTCTCATCAAAGACAACGTCGCGGCTCCTGACCAACTGTTGAGTGGAGGGATTGAGGAAGAGGTAGTCAGGTGAGTCGGCGTTGTGCCCAAGGTAGATGCACGTTTGAGTCTTGGGACCGAGCTTGCCACCGTTCTGGCGTCGAGCCTGAGGGTTGAGGAGGACATAGGCGGTGCATCCCCAAACGCGAAGAGAGCGAGCAGTGGGCGTTTTCCCGAGCCAGAGTGTGGTTGGAGTGGTGTCGGGAAGGTGCGGATGGGGGTAAAGGTTGTAGAGGAGGGCGGCGTGGTAGAGAGCGTATCCCCAGAGAGAGTGTGGAGCGTTGGAGTGGCTGAGGAGGCACCGAGTGATCTGCACTAGGGTGTGGTTGCGGCTCTCAGCTATGCCGTTCTGTTGAGGGCTGTCAGGGAGGGTGAAGGTTTGCTGGATGCCTTCGGAGGAGCAGAAGGCTTTGAGCTTGTCGTTGCAAAATTCACCCCCCCCATCCGAGTGAAGGCGCTTGACCTTGCGGTCAAAGGTGGTCTGTGCCTGCTTGACCCACGCCATGATGACCTCTGGAGCCTCAACCTTAGTGTGGAGGAGGTGAACAGAGACGTATCGTGAGTGGTCATCCACGATAACTAGGAAGTAGCGATATCCACCTCGTGCAGGAACAGGGGCAGGGCCCCAGACGTCCATGTGCACTTGGTCCAGTGGTGCCGCTGCGATTGTGGGTGAGGCAGTGTGGGGCTGTTGGCGCAGTTTGCTCTTGGTGCAATCAAGGCACGTGGGAGCGGGTGAGTCAGGTGGTGGAGGAAGTGTGGCTGGCAGGCCGAGAAGAAGTTTCTTGGAGGCCATGTCAGCAAGCGTGCGGAAGTTTGGGTGCCCTAACCGATGATGATAGAGGATGGTCGGGTTGGAGAGGCTGCGACATGTGCATGGTGTGATGGGAGCCTGTGCTTGGGTGGTTGAAACCTATGGGAGAGGAACGCGTAGCGTGTAGAGGCCGCTGCTATTGAGGGTGAAGTGGGCCAAGACCTTGTAGGTGAGTGGGTCAATGATGTCGCAGTGGTCCTCATTCTCCGAGAAGATGGTGCGTAGCCCTGCTTTCTGAATTTCTGTTTGAGCCACTAGATTGTGGCGTAGTGAAGGCACGCACATGCCAGTGACGGTGCCGGAAGGGAAGGCTGGGCATGGGACTGTGGAGGTGCCCTTGGCTAGGGTGGTGAAGCTGGAGTCAGCTCCCAAGAGAGGGATAGGTGCTGGATAGGGTTTGAAGGAGAGTGTCTCCTTGAGCACAGTGTGAGTGGCCCCGCTGTCGAGTGTGAACTCTATGTACTGTGGTGCCTGTGATGAGTCGATGTACTGGGAAGTGGCTTCATTAATCATGGCAGTGCCAGGAAACAACAGGTTGATACGCACATCAACAGGAGCACTATCACTAGCACTAGCCGAAGAGGGGTCCTGGACCTCAACGAGATTGGCCTTACGAGCGCGCATCCAGTTTGGCGGCTTCTTGTCAACCCCGTGGATGGCATACCACTCGTCGTCTTTCTTCTTGAAGCACGTGGCAAGGGGGTGGTTAGTGCCACCACACACTTGTCCCTTGCGGTTGCCATACTTGACGTCGTAGGTGCACGGAGGAAAGCGGTTGCGCTGGAAAGGCGCCGAGGCAAGGGCCGCTGCAACACTTGCTAGGGGCATGGGAGCACGGATGGCGTATGCCTTGGCCTGAGCCGTGGATTCTTTCTCGGCAGAGAGGAGTGCGGTGGAGACCTTAGCAAAGGTGAGGTCTTCCGCTGAGAGCGTGAGGAGCATCTTCCTCGTGACTACATATGCCGAGGAGAGACCAACAAGAAGGGCGGCTGCAGGGGCTTGTTCGGGGAAGACTATACCCAGCTCCTTGAGTTCACCATGAATGGTCTGCACCTTGGCGATGTAGTCAGCCATTCCTGAGCAGTCCTCAAGACGGACTTGAAACATGCTGGGGATGAGAATCGCCACTCCGACCGCCGTCTTGTTCATGAACCGATCCTGGAGATACTTCCAGATGGCGTTGGAGGTAGGGTAGTTGTGGAACGTGTTGACAAGTTCGGGAGGGGTGGAGGCAATGAAGACGCTGATGATGGCAGCATCGGCCTTCTCCCACTTCCGGTACTTCTCAACAGCTTCTTCGTACGTCATCACGTCAGCATCACTTGAAGATTCGGTCGGTTCACGGGGAAGAGTGGGCTGTTTCCCCTTGCCACGGTTGAGGAGGACGTCCTTGAGGTCAAGGCCCTGCACGTCACGGCTCAGGAGGTGCTTGTCAACTCCGTAGCTCCACGCCTTGAAGTTGGAGCTAGAGCCATCGGCTTCAAGGCGGAGCGGGGTGATGGGGTTCGCCATGGTGGAAGACGAGAAAGCCATGGTGGAGACCCCTTAACTTCTCGCGCGGAGCGCCGCTCTTAAGTCACCGATAGGAACTTGAGGTTTGGGGTTTCCAAAGGAGATTTTGAAGAACCGGAGGTTTAGGGTTTACGAAAGAGAATATTGAGGTTTAGGGTTTCTGAAGGAGAATTTGACTGAGACGCCAATTTAGTGTCAACTACCTACTAATCCTATTCCCACACACCCCCCCACACACCACCCTCAGCTTCGCGGCTACGCTGCTGCTCGGCTTCGCGGCTACACGGCTGCTCGGCTTCGCGGCTACGCTGCTGCTCGGCTGCGTTGCTGCACCTGTTCAGCTGCGGGAAAGAGGGGGGGATGGGGGTAGGAGTGCAGATGCGGGGCGACGGGCGGCAGCCCGAAGATGACGCTGCGGGGCGACGGGCGGCGGCCCGACGAGAAGCTGCAGGGCGACGGGCGGCGGCCCGACGAGGAGAAGAAGTGACGAGAGTGACGAATTGATGAAAACGAGTGTTAGGTTAGAGCGCCGACGATGCGCTTACCAGAGAAGTTTCCGTCGATGGTGACGGGAAGATGTGGCGGGAGAAATTCCGCCGATGAATGTCGCGAATCAACGGCGACGAGATTGGCGATGGCTTCCCCGAGGTTTGCGGGACAAGTATCCGCAGAGATGAGAGGATCACGATCCGCGTATGCGGTTGAGCTGCTCTGATACCATGTCAGAACTTGAGCTTAGAATAGATACTATAGTAGTGAGCTCAAAGCTCTTTAAGTACATCCGGAATGAGTAAGGTAGGGATGAGGAGGGAATCAGGAGGCAATCCTAGGGAATCAAGGGTAATCCCAAGGCAATCTCCAATTGGTGGGTTGGAGATTGCTTGGAGATTACATTTGGGTTTGGTTGGGATGTGGGTGTACACCCAACCAAACACAAAGTGCAAACTACACTAAACTAGGATATAAAAGTTCAAGTACAAAATGTGAGATTGGGGCCTAACACCAACACATGGCAGGAACAAGAACATGGCAGGAACAAGAATATGGCAGGAACAAGAACATGGCAGGAACAAGAACATGGCAGGAACAAGAACATGGCAGGAACAAGAACATTGCAGGAACAAGAACATGGCAGGAACAAGAACATGGCAGGAACAAGAACATGGCAGGAACAAGAACATGGCTGGAAAAAGAAGAACAACAATGGCAACAATGGCAACGATGACAATGGTGGCCCCACGACCCGACAGCAGCAGCAGCAGCAGCAGCGGCAGCAGAAGCAACAACAATACGAAAGACTGAGTGCTGAATGAGACACTCCTGAGACCACTCCAGCCAATGCTACCTGCCCCACATGGGTGAGCACGGGCTGCTGCAGCATGAAGGCATGACAGCACGAGGGCGCGAGGGCAGCACCCATGCTGCAGGAGGCAAGGACGCTAACACCAATTCAACAGCATTACCTGCATCTGCCCCACATGGGTGAGCACGAGCTGCTGCAGCAAGAGGGCGCGCTCCTTGCACCACACGCCCAGCGCCTCCTCCCTTTGATTCACGTACAGCGAGTGCTTCCGGTAGACCAGCCATGCGGCCATGCCCAGCCCACACAGCACCCACGCCGCTACCAGCACTGCAAACCAGGGCGCTGGGTGGGCGGGGTGAGTGGGGCGAGAGCGATGGGGAAAGGCGAGAGGGGGAAGAGCAAGAGAGGAAACGGGTTAAGCTCAGAAGGGCGATCCTCGTTCTGCTAGTGCTTGGAATCGAGCAGCCATGCAGCCATGCAGCCATGCGGCCATGCCCAGCCAACACAGCATCCACGCCGCCACCAGCACTGTGATGTGAACCAGGGAGCTCGGCGAGGGGGTGAGGGGCGAGCGAAGAGAATGAGTGAGACAAATGAGGCCAGCGGCCGGCTGTGACTAAACCACACAGCATCCATGCTGCAACCAGCACAGTGAACCAGGGCAGTGGGCGAGTGAGTGAGGGGCGAGCGTGGGGGAAAAAGATGGGGGAAAAGGATGGGAGAAAAAGATGGGGGAAAAGGATGGGAGAAAAAAGATGGGGGGAAAGGATGGGAGAAACGGATGGGGGAAAGGGATGGGAGAAAAGGATGGGGAAAAAAGATGGGATGAAAGGATGGGGGGAAATGGATGGGGGAAAAGGATGGTTGAAAAGGATGCGGGGAAAGGATGGGGGAAAGGAATGGGGAAAATTATGGGGGGAAAGGATGGGGGGTAAGGATGGGGGAAAAAGATGGGGAGAAAGGATGGGATACAAGGATGGGGGGGAAGGATGGGGAAAAGGATGGGAGAAAAGGATGGGGATGGGGAAAGGATGGGGTAGAAGAATGGGAGAAAAGGATGGGGGAAAAGGATGGGGGAAAAGGATGGGGGAAAAGGAAGGGGGAAAAGGATGGGGGACAAGGATGGGGGAAAAGGATGGGATAGACGGATGGGGGGCGGCGGCTGAGGGGACACCGGATGGGTGAATGGCGGATGGGCAGGGTGGATGGGGAAATGCAGGTGGCGGGCAGCGGATGGGGGTTGACTGATGGGACCGGCATGCAGAAAAGGGGACGGGGGAAGGGGGATGGGGAACAGCGGATGGAGGAAGGCGGAGGGGGACTATGCGGAGGGGGAGAATGGGGAAGGGGGATGGTGGATGGAGGAATGGCGGATGGAAGGACGGCGGACAGGGGAGAAGGATGGGGGAAGGCGGACAGGGGAGAAGGATGGGGGAAGGCGCCTAAGCGGACAGCGTAGGAGGGTAGGCGGATGCGAGCGGATGGAGGGACGGCGAAAGGGGGGACGGCGAATGGGTGGATGGGGAATGGTGGGACGGCGAATCGGGGGAAGGCGGATGCGGAGGAAGGCGGATGTGGGGGAAGGCGGATGTGGGGAACGCGGACTCCGCGTATGGGGGTAGTAAGGCGGGTATGTAGGAAAATGGGGGACGGCGGATGGGGAGAGGCGGATGGATGCTCTCATTCCGCGCGCATCCGCTCGCATTCCGCGCGCATCCGCTCTCATTCTGCGCGCATACGTTCTCATTCCGCGCGCATTCCGCCCCGCGGCTCAGCGGTAGCCTTACAGCCTTGTGTAGGCCCGCGGGCATCACAGCCGCTCTCCATAGGAACCTGTAAATCGATTCTCTTGTTTTGCTGGCGGGAGCGATGGAGAATCTGTGCTTGACATTTGAAGGAATCTATTAGAGAGCGTAGCGATAACGAGAGAGTTTCTGCTATGGGAATGATGTTGCGCCAGCAACTTGGTAGAGTTTCGGTAGCATTTGCCTCTAAGGACTTGGTGAGAATTGAAGTAGCATTTTGGACTTCACTAGGAACATAGAAAATATATCAAACACACAAGCAACACAAACATATATAGGCAGGCGAGGGTTTCACAAGAGGTTGCGTGGGCGCTGCGAGTAACCCAACCCCACGAAAGTGGTGTGTGGGTGAGCGAACGCGCCTCGCCAATTTCCCAACCCAACTCAGCATCGACTTCTCGCTTCCGTGCACACCACTCCACCAACACAGCAAGGAGTGGTGCGACTCTCAAAAGAAGCACCAACGACTCCCACGGACTCTCGCTTCTTCATGCGAACTCCTGCGCAGTTGCACATAGTCACACGTAGCCACACCCGACCTCCACCGAACTCATTCGTCGGAGCCGAGTAGACTCAATCGTTAGGCGTCGACCTGCCAAGTCAAAGGTCATCGAGGGCCCTTGCTGTTGTAGGGCCCTCTAACACTCCCCTGCCATACTACAGCAAGGCCCTTTACAATCACAGGGCATGCATACACACGTACACGCCAAAACAAAGGGAAACACACACAAACGAAGCACTCTCAAAGTGCAAACACGCACCGCACCAGCCATGGATAGGCCATGGCACCATCCACATCATGGAGTGTTTAGGTCTCACCCCCCTCACTCGAAAGCCTCACCTGCCCCACAGCCCCAAAGCAACGACTGAAGGCGGGGAAATGCAAAGCCTTCGTGAGGTAGTCAGCAGGCTGCTTGCTCGTAGGGATGTACTGCAACTGCAGCTTCCTGCGCTTGACCATGTGCTGCAGCCACATGTGGCGACGCTCCATGTGCTTGAGGCTCCCCTTGAGCCCCATGCCACCTGCCACTGAAATGGCGGAGGAGTTGTCCACAAAGAGAGTAGTGGGTTCCTCACTCCTCAGCAGTTGAAACTCTGCCAACAGGAAGCGCAGCCTGCGCGCCTCCTTCCCAGCCTCCACAGCAGCAACATACTCAGACTCAGTGGAGGAGAGGGTGGCGCAACGAATCCTCTGGCTTGCCCATGAGACAGCAGCACCCCCGAGCACGAAGACATAGCCACCTGTGCTGGTCCTGTTCTGCTTGTCCCCTGCATCATCAGCATCGGCGTAGCCCACCAGCTCCAAGGACTCCGGCCCACCACCAAACTCCAGCGCCACATCCCTGCTCCCCACCAAGTACGTCAAGCACCGGTCCAACTCCTTCCAGTGCTGATCACTCCGCACAGTCTGGCCTGACCCCAGCTTGCTGCAGGCGAACGAGATGTCGGGACGGGTGGTACAGGCCGCGAACTGCAAGGATCCCACCTTCTGCCTGTACTCCTCCTCCTGGCGAGACTGCCATCCCACATCCTCGAAGGTCTGCACACTGAAAGGGTCAGAGGAAAGAGGGGTGCGAGGCACTCGCAGCGGCTGCTCCCCGTCAAAGAAGCGCCTATGGACCTTGTCCACATAGGCCCCCTGGTGCAGCCACAGCCTTCTCGTGGGCCTGTCCCGAATCAGCTGCAACCCCAGATATTTCTCCACAGGGCTAATCTCCCGCAGCTGAAACGCACTCTGTAGCAGCTCACGCAGCTCCCCAAGCATGCTCTGACTGCGGCTGGCAGCAAGTAGGTCATCCACATACACCAGCAGCCAGCACATCTCCCCATCAGCATCAGTTTTGAAGTACAGAGCCTCATCCACCTTGCTCTTCTTCCATCCAGCCCCAAGCAGTACCCCATCCAAGGCCTCATACCATAGCATCGGGCTCTGGTTGAGCCCATACAGACTTTTCACCAACTTACAGACACGAGGAGTCCCATCCTCGTAGTAGCTCGGCTGCTCCATATAAAGGTCTCGGTCCAACACGCCATGGAGGAACGCATTCTTTACATCGAGCTGCATCAGGTCCAAATCAAGTGCAGCTGCAATCGCCAGAAGCACACGCGCCGTCACATAGCTTCCCACAGGGGCGTACGTCTCCTCATAGTCCACCCCTGCCACCTGCGTGAACCCCTTCACCACCAGCCTCGCCTTCTCACGCTCCACTATCCCATCAGGTCGGAACTGGGTGTTCAAAATCCATCGGTTCTTCATCACATTCACCCCTGGCGGACGCGGAACCAACTCCCACGTCCCCTGCTCAATCAAGCTCCGCATCTCTTCATCCATCGCCTCCTTCACCTTGTCGCCCTTCCAGCAGCCCAAGGCCTCCTTCACTGTCATTTTCGCTATGTCCCACTGCCTCTCAGGATCAGCTGCAACGTCCGGGTCCAGGTCAGTCCACTCCTCGTCCTCCTCCTCGTCATCCAAGCCCGCTGGCTCAACCACTACAGCCCAAGCGTATCGAACAGGCGGGACACCACGAGTGATGCGAGTGGAGCGACGCACTGGTGCAGTGGTCGTCCCAGAAACCAACACACGACCACCATCTCTAATTCCCCACATCTCGGTGCGTGTCAACGCGATCACGATGAAATGCGCTGTTGCGGCCGGAGCTGACGTGTACGCGGTTGACATTCGGGAAGCCGAGGCAGCAGACAAGGGGGGCGATTTACAGAAACTGCTGACCGACGTACCGAGTGACCTGGCGGCACTGTTAAAACAGTACAGTGACATTTTCCCGGATGACTTACCGACGGGACTGCCACCTCAGCGACCGCACGATCACAGGATAGAACTGGAACCGGGGGCACAGCCAACAGTACAGCGACAGTTCCGACTGACCCAACCCGAACTAGACGAACTAAGGAAGCAGCTCGATTACCTGCTCGAAAAGGAATTCATTCGCCCTAGTTCGTCGCCCTTCGCCGCACCAATACTGTTCACACCGAAAAAGGACGGGGGTTTTCGCATGTGCATCGACTACAGGGCACTGAACAGGGTTACCATCAAATCCCATTACCCCATCCCACGAGCCGACGAACTGATCGACCAACTGCGCACAGCCCGGGTTTTCTCGAAAATCGACCTCCGAGGAGGCTACCACCAAATCCGCGTCAACCCACCCGACTGCCCTAAAACCGCATTGCGAACACGCTACGGGTCCTTCGAATACACCGTCATGCCATTCGGACTGACCAACGCCCCCGCCACTTTCCAAATGACCATGAACGAAGCATTCCGCCCGCTTTTAGATAAGTGCGTCATCGTTTATCTGGACGACATACTGATTTACAGCCCTGACAGAGCACAGCACTTACAAGACATCGAAGCAGTTTTTAAAATCCTGAGTGAGAACCGCCTACTGACCAAAGCATCTAAGTGTGAGTTTTTACAGGACCGCCTGGAGTTTTTGGGACATGTTATTTCAGCTGCAGGAGTGGAAATAGACCCGAAGAAAATCGCGACGATTCAGGCTTGGCACGCGCCGACCAACTTGACCGAGTTGCAGAGTTTCCTGGGGTTCGTCAACTACGTGCGCCGGTTCGTCCCCGACATGGCGAAGCTGACTGCCCCGTTGACCGACCTGCTGAGGAAGGGGGTTGAGTACACGTGGGGGGAGAAAGAGCAAGCTGCCTTCTCGGCCCTCAAAAATATTTTGTGCTCCCCGCCCGTCCTTCACGTTGCAGATCCCCACCGTCCGTTCGAGCTCGTCACCGACGCAAGTGACATCGCTGTGGGAGCAGTACTGTTGCAGGATTTCGGGAACGGCCTCCAGCCAATCGCGTACGAGTCCCGCAAGTTACACCCGCCCGAACGTAACTACCCGATACACGACCGCGAGATGCTAGCGATCGTGCACGCGTTCAAAGTTTGGCGATGTTACCTGACTGGCGCCGACGTGACAGTACGGACAGACCACCGCTCGCTACAGTATCTTCGCGCCCAACCGAATCTCAACCCACGACAGATTCGCTGGTTGGACTATCTCGAGTCCAATTTTCACTACACCGTTACGTACAAAAAGGGTGCATCCAACATCGCCGACGCCCTCACCCGCCCCACCGCCCAACTCCATGCCATCCTACTCGCCCAGACCAACCCGCTTTTAACTGGCCTATTCACCCACGGATACCGCACCGACCCATTTTTCACGACCGGCAATTCACAGCAACTGGCAGAAGCAAAAGGAATCTATTACGTAAAAGCAGGCACCAACCGCATTTGGGTACCCGCGTACTCACTACTGAGGGAGCTGCTACTACAGGAGGCACACGACGGGATTACCTCGGGACATTTCGGGGTAGAAAAAACGCGACAGCAACTGCAGCGGTACTATTACTGGCCGGAGCTGTTGACCGACGTACAGCAGCACGTGGGCTCGTGCCCGACGTGTCAGGTGATGAAGAGTTCAAGGAAGCGGAAGGCGGGTCAATTGCAGCCGATCCCACCGCCCGAACGCGCCTGGCAGCAAGTAACCATGGACTTCGTCACAGGGTTACCTTCGAACCCTGGGGGTAACGACGCGGTGATGGTCGTCGTGGATAGGCTGACGAAGATGGCACACTTCGCTGCGTGCAAAAAGTCGATCTCAGCCGAGGAGACCGCTCGCCTGTTCATCGCAGCCGTTGTTCGCCTGCACGGGATACCAGCAGCAATCATCAGCGACAGGGACACGAAGTTTACCAGCAACTTCTGGAAGAACCTCTGGGAGCAGTTCGGGACCAGGCTACAGTTCAGTTCGTCGTACCACCCCGAGACCGACGGCCAAACGGAGCGGACGAATTAGACGATGGAGCAGTTGATTCGTGCCACGTGCGACGACCCCACGACCTGGGAGCAGCAGTTGCCGCTGATCGAGTTCGCGTACAACAACGC